TGTTTCTTCAGATGCTTTCTCCTGCCCACCCCCTCTTTTGGGGCCGCTGATCACCTAAATGTTGGTCTGTTTCACGTCGTCTTACAGCTCTGATGTGCTTTCCATTTTTTGCCATCTTTTTTTTCTCTTAGTATTTTATTTTGTATATTTCTCTGGTTATATCTTCCATAAAGTCACTGATCTTTTCTTCTGAAATAATGCTGTTAATCTCATTGGTGTATTACAAAAATAAATCTCAGACTGAAGTTTTGTGTCTAAAGTTTGACTCGGATCTCTTTGTGTTCTGTGTCTTTATTTAGAGTGTTCAGTCCACTCCACCTTCTTGAGCTCATGGAGAGGTGAGAGCAGCCTGACCTCAGGGCTGCCCTTGACCCACTCTGAGTCACTGCCCTTGTGAGTCATTGTCAGATGTCCCGTGAACTATGAGGGCTTCCTTCCTGGCCGTTGGGCACACGAAATATTCCAGACCCTGTGTGAACTCTGGGGGTCGTCCCACACAAGAGAATGGGCCCCACAGCACAGAAGGGCCTGTGGAGAGGAGAGAAGGGAAGGGGGTCACAGCTTTTTAATAAATTTCTCATTTCATTAGTTGTATTTTTCAGTTGTGGAATTTTCATTTTGTTCTTTTAAAAAAACTCTAAGAGAGAATCTAGATGACTTTGAGTATGGTGATGACTTTTTAGACACAGCTCTGATAGATGTGATCCATGAAAAAAAGTTCATCATCTGGATTTCATGAAAATTAAAAACCTCTGCTCCATGAGAACAATGTCAAGAGAAGGAGCAGACAAGTCACAGTCCGGGAGAAACATTTGTCGGCGACGCACCTGAGAAGGGACTGCTATCCAAAACAGACAAAGAACTCTTAAAAATCAACAGTAAGAAAATGGAAACCTGGTTAAAAAATGAGCAAAAGACTTGAACAGACACTTCACCAGAAACAATCCAAAGATGGGAAATAAGCCTACGAAAAGAGGCTCAACTCCACCCAGGGCTGGTGAGGCTGTGGGCAGCAGGGACTGTCCCTCCTGCTGCTGGGGACGTGGATGGCATGGCCACTGTGGAGGACAGTGAGGTGGCTTCCACAGGACTAAACACGCTCATACCTGCCGTTCTGCAGTCACGCTCCTGGGTATTTACCCAGAAGAGCTGGAAACACATCCACACAAAACCTGCACGCGATGTTTACAGCAGCCTTATTCGGAACTGCCGGGACTTGAAGCAGCCCACATGCCCCTCAGGAGGTGATGGATAAATAAGCTGTGGTCCATCCACACAAGGGAATATTAGTCAGCACTACAAAGACATGAGCTGTCAGGCCATGAAGGACGCGGGGGAACCTTAAATGCACATCAGTGAGTGACAGCAGCCAGTGTGAAGGGGCCACACACTGTGTGACACCAACTCTGTGACATCCTGGAAAAGGCCCAACTGTGGGGACAGGAAGTCAGGGGTCGGCAGGGACCTGGGGGGGACCCAGAGGGTGTCGGGGCAGTGAGCCTGCTCTGTGTGACCCTGAAGGGGGGGTGACACATGTCATCACACATCTGTCCGAACCCACAGAATGTGCACCACCGAGTGGCCCTGATGTAGGCGGTGGGCTCTGGGCGATGGGGACGTGTCTGGGCAGGCCTGTCACTGTGACAAACGTCCATCTGGGGGGACGTGGATAATAGCTGTGCATGTGTGGGGAGAGCAAGTGTATGAGAACTCTGTACTTTCCACTCAGTTTTTTTGTGAAAATAAAACTGATTTAAACAACTAAAGTGTGTTTCTTAAAAAGAATAAGGAATAAATTACAAAAAACATATATGTTATTAAAAAAATTTCCAGTTCTCATGAAATTCTCCATCTTGGAATCTTTTTCCTTGAACATAATAATCACAGATATTTTAAAATGCATATGATAACTCCCAACAGCTTGGAAATCTGACATCTTTTTATACTGTCGGTCTTCCCTGTGGGTTGGAGGGTCCTCCCCGCAGCCACGGCCCCCAGGACCTCAGGATGTGGCCTTGTTTGGAAAGGGGTCTTTGCAGACGCAAGCACTGGAGGGTTGTGCTGAGATCGCCCCGAGTCCCAGGAGTGCCCCGATGGCGGACGGAGGAGGATGCAGCAGAGCCGGTGCATGGGAGCCGGCCATGCAGTGGTGCAGCCACAGCCGCTGAGTGGCAGGACCCACCGGGAGCCCCGAGGGAGCACAGTGCGGTTGGCGCTCTGATTTCTGACTGTGGGTCCCCAAAACGCAGAGGGACCGAATGCTGGCTGTTTAAATCTGCTGTTTGTGACGATCTGAACAACACTCACCAGAGGTGAGCCATCCTGCTTATTAGCACGTTTGCTTGGATGGCTGAACCCGTAGCCCGGACCACAGACGTGCTGTGTGACATCCATGCTCAGGAGGGATTTGGCCTCCCAGGACAGGTGGCCAGCAGGGCCTCCCAGCCATAGGACCTGCGTGTGTACCGAGGGGGTGGGGGGCTAGGAGGCCCTGTGCCAGGTGGGTGGTTCCTTTAGGGAGGAGGCTGTTCCTGTGGCCCTGCACCCCAAGACCCCCTCAGTAGCACCCCTGCTTTCTGTTCGCTTAGAGGGGAGCCCCGTGCTGAGAAAGGGCTCAGGTCTCTGGGCTGCCCATCTCTCCTGGGTCCCGGCTGCCCGCACCCTGGAGGCACTGTCTGCTGCAGACGCCGATGTTTATCTCCCACCCCGTGACCTGCTTGGGCTCTGCTGCCCCCTCTGCTTCTGAGCAGGGCTCTCTATTTCCCTTCCTACTTCAGCCTGGCTGAGGGCGTGAACCTCCCCTGTGGCACTGTCCCCACCGTGACTCACTCTCTGTCTCCCCGCTCTCCCCAAAACCTTGAAGCTTCTCTTCAGTGAGTCTTCATTCTTTCTTACGTAAGATGGTTGTGAATATCTGACCAGCTGGATAGCAATTTTCTGAGACACCTCAGACCTCTTTGTAGTTTTCTGAGGCAGACTAAATAGAAGTTAGCAGCATGTTTTAAGGATAATTTCGCTGTTGCCAGGTATGCAAGTAGAGTGTCCTTCATTGAACATCGATTCAGGCCGTCCTGCGCTGTAGCTTCACGACGTCCTTAGGGCTTTGTTCTGTCCCACAGACTGTCCATGCCCAGAGGGTTCCACGGTTAAAGAAGTTTCTGATGCAGTGCTTAGCTTTCCTTCTCCTTGTCCATGTCACCCGACATTCCTCATTGGTGTTGATGTTTTTTCCCTTCATGTTGCAAATCCCAGCTGTGGATCAGGAAATGAAATCCCTGGTCCTTCTCTTTGCATCAGTGAGGACTCCTGGTTGCACATGATAGACACCCAACTCCAAGTAGCTTCAGCAATGAAGGAAGGGGGTCCGGTGGAGAGTGGCCAGGCCGTGTGTTTATCACAGCGCCCGAGTCCAGAACACGCAGGCTCACCTCCCGTTCGCAGTACCGTCGGCATGATCATAGGGGGCCTGGTGAATGGCTGGGCTGGGAGAGCAGGGCCCTACACAGAGCTCGGGGGTGGCCTCACCATGGGCCACCTCTCTTCCCATCAGGGACCTGCTCTTTCCCAGCAGCCTGGTGGAGACAGTCAGGGTCCCTCCACGCAGCGAGCGCTCTGTGACGCAGGAGGCAACGGAGCAACTTGGAAACTGAAACAAGAGCGAGGGGCTGGCAGGCCTCCGGGTCCCCAGGATGCTGCTCACGGAGGCCAGGACTCGGACGGTGCAGATGCCATTTGCTAGGAGACGGGGCACCGTCATCGTCGCCTCTGTGCACTCGTGGGTGGGCAGCAGAGTACCTGGACGGGCTGGGAGAGGGCAGGTTGGCTCCTTGAGGAAGGGATGCAGATAAACAGAAATAACAGGTCGTGCCTGTGTTTATTTACTGTCCTTGCAACAGACATTTATGAAATGGGATGCTAGGGTGCAGGAAGACTGAAGGGATATGAGGCACGGAGCTGGAGTGCATTGTCCCTAGTTCACTGTGTCCGGGGTCCTCGGATGAGCACTGTGAGTGGCTTCTCCTGTCTTTGTGGTTTCTGATTCACGTGCTCAGAGCCTGTCTTCCTGGTCTGTCGCCACGTTCCTGATAAACCAGATGTGGGGCGTGGAGATTTCAAGGCTCCCGGACATTTCCCATATCTTATTTTCTCTAATTTTTTTGCAAAGACCTACATTACACACGTGTTACAGGTGGGGAAAACAGAGCCCCAGACAGCACCCCCCCTCCACCCGGTGAGGCCCCCCAGCGGGATTCCAAGGGCAGGACCATCCCACGGCCCCTGGTGGGGAAGCTCTCCAGGTCACAGCCCACGGCCGCGCCTCTCATGTCATTTATATTCGGACACATGTGGTACAAAAAGGTGGACACCCTGCAATTATCCGCTTATTTAGATGCCATGTATGACTGTGGTGAGGACTATTAATAAGATATAACTTGCTGACTAGGTATGGTCCCCCTTTTAGGTAGGCAGTTCCTGCTAAATTAGCCCCAGAAGAAACCAAGTGAAAGCTCGAGTCATTTCTGAAGTCAAAGAACAAAACAAAACACCCATAAAACCACAGGGGCCACCTTCCCTTCGTGCGCGGCTGACAGCGCTCCGAAGCTGGGTGGCCTGGCTCACAGATGGTGAATCGCTTACTGAAGTCAGGAAGTCACCGAGGACTCCCTGGAATGTCCGTTCATGGGCCAGGGAACCCGAGGCCCAGAAGTACTGAAGATGCAAGTGTGAGGGTGTGTCAAACAGTCAAGAGGAGTCCGAGGGGCCAGCGGGATCGAGTGCCAGTGCCCTGTCCTCCTCTTCCACTGGGTCAGTGCCTGGACCGTCACGCTCCCATCCCTGGGCATTTTGTGACTCAGGATGGACACTTTCCACTTTTCAATTCTGATTTTTTTCTAACTCGAAGAAGACCGTTCTCCCTCCCGCGATCAGACTGTTGATTCATGGCACAGGCTGTCAGTCTGGGCGAGGCAGTGCCACCCGTCTATATATAGCAGCTCCTCAGGCCATAAATGGGAGGGAGGACAGGCGTTTGGAGGGAGAAATTAGCCTTGCTGTCCTCAGCCAGAGCTGGACGCTGGTGAGTGGGCACGGAACGGTGTTCTCCTCTTTGCCATTTCCCTTTTCTCTGGTAAGTTCCCCTTCTTTCCTTTTACAATTGGAGGCTTTGGAGGAAGGAAACATAACTTGGGGAAAATCTGGTTGCGCTCAGATTTCCTAAGTGGACTTATTTCAGGGGAAAGAGATGTTAACTCCTAGTCCCCATTATATGCAGAAAGAAACAGCAAATATTAGATCTGAGGTCTGGACTTCTTGGACTGGATTTTAATACCGTCGTGAGCTTTGCTGTCATCAAGCCCTAAATTCCTCCAGACCACTTGCGTCTCAGCCCTGAGTTTGGTGACGTGTCCTGTCAGATCCCCAAGGCCGTTGACTGATGTCTGCAGTTTTCACAAAAGTCTCATAAATGGAGGGGTCTGAGGGGCGCATGCAGATTTGAAAGGTGGAAAATAAAACTGGGTATTTTCCAAAGGAAAATAAAGTTGTGAGGGTCACGGAGCCCAGCTGCGGGCTCCAGCATCCGAGGGGTGCGAAAGGACACAGGGCTTCTTGTCAGCATTTGCAAGGTCTCACCTCGGAAGGACGGTCCTCTCGCAGCGGCTTTCACCCTTGTGTCTCGAAGCGCACTGTGACCCTGCAGCCAGTTGCACCGGGAGCCTGAGCTTTCTGAGCTCTCGCCCTGGAGGCCGTGCCTGCCCAGCTGGGCAGAGCAGCTGGGTCCCTGCATCCCGAAGGCACAGAGCGCCCTGGGGGACCCTTACCATCCCCAGCTGGCTCCCGGAGGAGGAGCCGAACACACACTGGAGAGCAAGGGAAACGTGGTAACTTAAAGGCGCTTCTCCTGGACTGAGTCTGGCCTGCATTTGCAGGAAACTCATATCGAATCAGACACCCTCACCTGCGTCCTGATTCTTCAGAAAAGCAAGAATCAGCGGCTGCAGTTTTATAACATGGCCTCTTCTTATCACTGTTGATTTCTTTTCAGTTCTCTCAGTTTGGAAAAGCCATGGCAACGGCCCGGCCTGCTGGGAGCTGTCCTGTCCAGGAGGCTGCGCATTATCTGGCTCTGCAGCCTAATTTGATCCTGCTGGAGCTCAGGGGGGAGCGAATCAGGCTCCCTGGGGTCAGAGAGCTCTGGGGCTGCGAGGGCAGCGGGCCGGCCAGAGAAACCCCTGCCGGTCACGTCGTGGCTGTGAAGGGTTATCAGGAGGAACGACTGAGAAATCAAGATGCCGGAAATGAGACGTGGCACCTTATAGGCTGGATCACTGATGATTTTACGAATTACTCTGTGATCATTAACTTTACTTTTGGTGCCGAGGGGTTTGTGCACAGCTCTGGGGAAACCAGTTCCCAGTGTGAATGAGCTTGGGCGACGCCTGTCTTGGGAGCGAGGGCTTAGTTCCTCAGGGGCACAGGCAACGTGATGTGCCCGCTAATCCTTTTCGTCCTGCTGGAAAAGCTTTAATTTGGCATGTCCATTGCTTTGACAGTTTTAGCTGCACAGGGACAATTTCTTTCATTAAATGGAGGCAAATGTGGTGTAGTTCAAATGTTCCCACAAATGAAAACCCTTCTTGGTGACACAAAGGGTGGTTTACAGACATTCTTCTAAGGAAACAATTAGGACTGAGCGTGTCCCAGACGCACGGTCTCCTGTGCTTGGGGACAGGCTCGAGTTTCACTTCGGCGTCACAATTGCCCAGCATGTCAGGGGCACGCCAGGGGTGTGGGGGGGAGTGGGCTGCGTGCAGAGGCCGAGCCCAGGGCACAGTGCTGGCTCTGCCCAGACAAACTGGGTGCCCTATTTTGCCACCTGAACCCAGTTTCTGAGGAGGTAAGGGCAAGATGTGAGCAGGACAGGTGAGATCAGACCTGTCACGTTGTATGCAAATTCAGCCCTAATTTGTTGAGAAAACCCAAATGTGTGCATAGAGTGTCCCCTGCTCTGTGTCGTCCCATCATTGCTACAGCCTCCCATACTTCACACAGTCACAGTCACGCACTTGAGGGAATGTGGGTTGCCACCCACCCCTCATTTTCAGTGAAGCAAATTGAGGCCCCGGGTAGTGGACAGGCTGCTCAAGCTCGCTGCCCGAGTCCAATGTCCCCTCGCCCCTTCCACCAGCGCGCTCGCATCAAAACCGTGTGGGGAACAGCAGTTTCCCCAGAGCGGGGAGCAGGCAGGACATGGGTCACGCAGCAGAGGCGGCTTCCTGGAAGGGAGGGTGACTCTGTGGAGTGGGGTGGGGAGCCAGGCTGCCCGGCCGTGACACCCCTCGGCCCGGTGTCCCGTGCAGCGTGGCGGCCTCAGCTGCCTTCTCGCCACGGCTTCTCGGAGATGCCTTGCTGAGAGTACGTGCTGGTCCTGCAGGGAACATGCTTCCAGGACGTCCCGGGCTGGGGGCTCCTGGGACGGGAAGTTCTGACATCCCAGACCAGTGGGGAGGGAAGGGCCAGAACCGTGCACAGCTCACATGGCCAGAGTGGTGTGGGCTGGGGGTGACCCTGGTGCCCATCTTCCCTGGGCAGCAGCGAGGCGGAAGTGCGGGGGTCGGCTGCAGGAGGGTGGGTGCTTGCTGCCATCGCCTGAGCAGAGGCCCTGAGAGGCTCCTTCCTTCTGGGCAGTGGTCCTCCATTCAGGCCCGGCTGGCACGCATCAGGGGCTGCAGATGTCTGGAGTGAGAATCAGGTAGAGCCTGGTCGATGGCATTTGCTTGGAACCACCTCATTCTGAGTGCTGTCAGCTCTGTGTTGCTCCCCGAGACAGAGGACACTTGTGGGTACAAAAGCAGCCAGTAATGGGTTCCTGGATTCCTGCTGAAGTCTGAGGGTGTCTTGGGGGGAGTAGCTACAGAAAGCTCAGGAGACAGGGCATGGAACCCCAGAACTGCCACAGCAGGTGCTCACACACTGGGTGCCAGGCCCGCGAGAGACCCTTTGGAGGGCCAGGTCACCAGGCTCTGCGTGGCACGCGCCCTCCCAGCCGGGCCCGTTCAGAACCAGCGCTCCCATCAGGCGCGGCCTGCCCCTGCTGGGGGGCCAGCTGCCAGTATAAGCATCTCGTGATAGCTCATCCTCTTATCAGTAGGCCATTTTGGGACTCTTCCCTTGGCCAAGAGATACAAGCGGATCTGAAGGTGACTCCACTTAGACAGGAGTGTGTGCCCGCTTGGGCCGTGGCCACCTGGCGCAGGAGCACCTGTGGGGCATGCTCTGGGTTTGTGCTGCACAGAGTCTTTCTATGTGAGTGCAGGTGCATCAGGGACGTCTTGAGAGGACACTGGCTGAGAGGTGGAGTGTGCACCCCAGTGGGGTCTGACTTCAGGGAGCCTCCCAGTGCATGGGTGGACCCCAGAGCCAGCAAGTAGAATGCACGCGATTCTGGGCAGGGAGCTTGTCTTCACCCTGCCCTTGATTAACTCATCGGAAATACCGTCGACCATGGAGGTGAAGGGTGGGATATTTCCAGTGTTCAAGTGATGAATGCATTTTTTCCAGGGCCCTTTTCCTGCAGATGGGATTCAGCCTGACAACAACACCCAGTAGTGTGACGGGGCCACTGCCAGTTTGGGCCGTCGCTGCTCCATCCCAAGCAGTGCCAATCATTGTGCAGATTCATGGAAAATTCCAGAGTCAGGGAGATGAAAAGTTAGCCTCATCAAGGTGCTGGAGTCAGAACTTGACCCCAGGTCTATCAGATGCCAGAATCTGTGTGCTGAGCCTCCTGTATTATATACATACACGTAATCCCTCCTTCAAAGGCTCGGTGGGGTGGAGGAGCTATGTTTTCACCGTGTTCCATCTCATTTTGTGTTTATAATCAATTTATAAACGGCCATGCTGCAGAACACAAGCCAGACCCTAGTGGACCTGCAGTGGCCACTTGACTAGTGGATTTTTAAGAGGAAATATTGGGATAAGTTAGTGTAACTATGTACAAAAGGCCTAGAAACGGAAGTCTGATGACCTTCGGTGGGTCAGCCCTTTGTTTTGGGGGGAATCATTCTCCTCTCTGGCCACTGCGACCCGCACCCTCCTTTGTAGAATAGGGGTTTGGACTATCCCTAAGGATCTCCCCAAACTCTTTAATTCTGAGATTCTAGGAAATTACAGTGTGAGGAGAATCGATCATGAAGACTATGCTTGGGCAGATTATGTATTTGGTAGGTCTTCTGACATCTACCCGAGGATCTGAACAGTGGTGGGCAGTGAGGGCGGCAGCTGTCTCGTCTCCGAGCAGGGCCTGGGCATCTTCCGCCCTGGTCTCCATCCCGCTGTCTCCTGGTGCCAGGCCTTGCCTATGAGTTCTTTCTTTAAATTGGGGCAGATTATTCTAATGTAAACACAAACAACAGAAATGGAGTTCAGATTTGGAGTTCTTTTGCACCTTTATTTGGGATGTTACTAATCAGAGACTTAGGAATACTGTTTACCCTTCTTAGAGGGACTCGAGTAGCCCAGTAAGCTGGCATTTTATTTATTTTGGGGCAATTATGCAGCAAATGGCCATGTCCAGTGCCTGCCGTGCATCTCACTCCAGATGGCAGGCCGTGGGACCGTCTCCACACTCCCTTGTTTTGGGAGAATTCAACCGAAATATGCCCACTTCCCTACATTGCCAGGCTTCATGCTGGGTTCACCTCGGCTCCCTGCCCATCCCACCCGTGCATGTGCCCTTCCATGTGCCCCTCCATGTGCGTGGCCTATCCCGTGCGTTCCCTTCTGTGTGGCTCTCTGTATGTGGGGCTGTTCCGTGTGCCCATCCTGTGTGTGCTGCATTCTGCATGCCCCATCCTGTGTGCCCATGTGGCCTGTTCCGTGAGTCCATCCCTTGGGCCCCTGTCCCATGTGCCCCTCCATGCGTGCCCATTAGGTGTGCCCCCGGAGCTGCACCTCTGCCCACCCTTGGGCTTCCAGGGTCTGCCGACCTCCCTAGCCTGCTGTGGCTGCTTCTGCCCTCATGGCTCACTGTGCCTCCACTGCCCTGTGAGGTTTTCTGTAAATACATGTTGAGCTCATTGAATGGACATATGGCCCAGTCTTCTCATTTTTATGGAAGCAAAGAAGAAATGAAATCAGCTTAGTAGGCGTCCTGACTCCACGCCCAACATCGTTTTCACCTTTGACCTTTCCTTTGCTCTACCTGCCCTTCTCCCAGGCATTTTATTAATTGGGGTTGATTTTCCTCTTGAGAACAATGTACGCTGTTCAGGTCATCACTGCAGGCGCGAGACCGCTTTGCTTGGACTCAGTGCCTGGTTGCTGTCCCTTCGCAGGTGTACAGACATGTCTCTTGTCGCTGTGCCCTACTACCAAAAGCAGCACAAACACTTCGACCAGTCCTACCGCAACATTCACACCCGGTACCTTCTGGACGAATATGCAGCGAAAAGGTAAGTGGACACAGAGCTTGGATTATGGGTGTCTGATGTGTAAAAGCAGGAAGCTTTATTGAGTCCCCTGGAACCTGGAGATGACCTGGAGCGGGTCAGGGATGGCAATGCCCCCGATGCCCGTGTCCAGCACCACAGGAGAGAGGTGGTTGTCCTGGCTGTGGGGCAAACTGCATGCGGGAGCTGCCTGGCATCCTGGTGGGTCCCCGTGGGTCCCGGTGAATCCTGGTAGGTCCCACTGGGTTCTGGTAGGTCCCAGTAGGTCCTGCTGGACTGGCTCTGAGCCCCCGGCGTAGGTCATGAAGATAGGGACTTTTGTGTAATGCTCATTAGCTGCACTCTTCATACATCTTCCAGAATTTGCCTCAAAAGGGCCAGAAGGGAAGGGCGGGCGATCAGGAGGAAGCCAGTGGGCAGGGTGTCAGTGGGAGGGAGGTTGTCGGGTGGCAAGGTGAAGACCAGGTGGAAGCTGTTGTCGCAGTAGTAATAAATGCGGCAAGAATGGTTTCCTCGTGCCCAGTGCGTGGTGTCAGCCGTCTCCGCGGCGCCCTTGGGAGGTTCAGCGGCCTCAGGAGCAGTGCTGGGCCCACCAGGGAGGAGGGGAGTGCTGGCGTGGCCCGGGTGGCCCCGGGGCTCGCACCTGTCCCCAGCGCAGGGTCCTTGTATTTCGTTGCCATTCCTGTGACAAACAGCCACACAGCCACGGGGCCTACCAGCAGCTGTGGGGCGGTCAGGCCCGTCCCCGTACGTGCGATGGGGGTGTCCGCCCAGGGCCGGGGGCGCGGGTGCAGGGCCGGGCAGCCCCACCGCCCCCGAGGGCGCCCCCCCCCGCCCCGGGACCGCACGTGCACGCGCGGCTGGTTTGTGTGCGCCGCGTGTTCAAGGGAGGCCGGCGGGCGGAGGGAGCGTGGTTGTCCCGGCAACCGCGTGCTCTCTTCCCCCGCCCGGTCCCCGCCCCAGGCGCGCGTCTACGCAGGCGTCTTCCGGGAGCGCTTCCGTCAGGCAGTCGTCCCGCGCGGCGTCCGGCCCGGCCGTCGGGGGCACCGTCTGCAGGCTCTGCGCCAAGAGGGTGGGCGCGGCGTTGCAGGAGGAGGAGGAGCAAGAGCGCCAACGAAGGTAGGCGGGCGCCGGGGTGGCGGGGACGCGGCTGGGGCGCGGCGCACGCGCGCGGGGGGCTGATTCCCCGCGGCCGCCGGCCCGGGCGCCTGCCCCCGAGTCCTGCCCCCTCCCTGCGGAGCAGCGCCGGCCCCACGTGACCCCCAGCCGCCTAGGCCGGGGCCCCGGGCTGCAGGCGCAGCACGAGCATCCTCCGTGGCCGCCTCCTTTGCACCTGTGTCCCGCGCGTCTCCTCCTGCGGTTCCTGGAAAATTTTCTCTTTTGCTCTAAAACACTTACAAGCTAAGGAATAAGGCGATCTGGGTAAACATGACTCATTCTGAAAGGGGCACGAAAGCTCAGGAATCTGTTTAGTTAAAAACAGTCAAAAAGATGAGGCACTACTTTCAAAAACTTGTGTTGGAAGCGCCTTACGGGAGTTTTGTCCGGTGAATGGATGGTATATTGTAGAATGAAGACTTCTCGCGTAAAATAATCACTTTACAATGAATATGCTATAAAAATCTGGATTTTTATGTATTGGATCATTTAACAAAGGGTTCCACCTATGTTTAAGGTTTTGGGCTGGGAATTGAGAAAGCTGGGCTTTATCATTTTATTTTTATTTATTTTTATCAACTATATCTTAGCCTGACCTTGAACACGTCGCATAAACTTCTTGTCCCTCAAGCTCCCCAGGGGTGAGAGGGGAGAGTCGCCTTGTATTGATTCGAGCGGCCAGGGAGTGTGTTACCCTAATTCACATGGTCTCGGCCAAAATGACTTTGGTGCCATCTGGTCCCTGGGAGGCGCTCATTCATTCCTCTTCAGGTGTGAGCACCCTTGGGTGGGTGCAGAGGAAGGCCAGCCAGCACCTGCCTCAGGTGTACCTCTCTCCATGTTTCTGTAGGAGGAGGCTGCAGAATTTTCTGGAATTCTGCATCAAACTGAAACGCCCTGAATGCCTACCACCAGGCCTTAGATATCTGCTGTGTGAACTACCGCCCCATCGCGGGTGTTGTGGGGTCCTGGGAAGGGGCCTGGGGACTGGCCCGGGCCTGCACCTTGGTGGCCACGTGGTTAGTCTGACGCCTGCCCTTGCGGCAGGGATGCTGCCTGTGGCTGTTGGTCGGGTTGTTTTCCTGCAGGCCTCTGTCCCTTCCCAGCAGTGCTTGCGCTTCCTGGTCCCCCTACTCACCAGCTCACCTCTCCCTGGTTTAGGGTACTGGACACTTAGTAGGCGCTTGCTGTGTACAGTAATCTGAGGAACCCAGAGAGACGTAGCCAACCCTGTGTCTCAGGGAACCTGTGTTCCCACAGGCCGTGGGGCCTCAGGTAGCCTGAAACAGGAACAGATTATCACGATCCAGGCTGTGAGAGGCCTACAGAGAGTTTCGGGTTCAGACAGAAGTGGGGATCAGGAATGGCAGCAGGGAGAGGTGGCTTTTGGGATGGGCTTGAAAGAAGGACAGAAGCAGATGGGGTAGGGGACTCACCCGTATGCATCAGGCAGTCAGTGGGTGAACGGGCCAGCAGGTGTCCTGGCCTGGGGGCCTTGGGGAGGGCTGGGTGGGCAGGGCACTCAGGTGAGAGGGCATGCATGTGAGAGGGCATCCAGATGAGAGGGCACCCCAGTGGAAAGGGCACCCAAGTGACAGGACACCTAGGTGAGAGGGCACTCAAGTGGACAGTGCATCCAGGTGAGAGGGCACCCAGGTAAGAGGGCATGCAGGTGAGAGGCATTTAGGTGAGAGGGTACTAAATGAGAGGGCACCTAGGTAAGGGGCATCCAGGTGAGGGCACTTAGGTGGACAGAGCACCCAGGGGAGAGGGCACCCAGATGAGAGGGCATCCCGGCAGGAGGGGTCTGTGAAAGGCCCAAAAGCATGGCCTCCGGGCCGTGGGTGGGGCAGGGCCTGCCCCCTCTGTCTCTCTGGGGGAGGAAACTGCATTGTGGTTTGAGCCTTGTCATTTCCCTGGAACACAGACTTCTTTCTTATCTATATCTGCTAATTCAGAGGCTCCAACTCGGTCTTAAATACACTCAGAAGCAGCCCCCCACACCCCCAAAAGAGGCTTGTTTCCGTGCTGCTGTGCAGAAGGCTCACACACAGGGCTCGGCTTCCCCACGCTTTTTAATACTGGAGCCAGCTTCAAACAGGCCTTCGCCCAGAGGCTCCCAGCCACTGGGTCTCGGGGCCCTGGAGGCAGCAGGACTCACGTGCGAACGGGGCCTGTGTCCTAGAAAGGCTGCAGTTTGCTCGCCCCTGCAGGGTTCTCGCAGGGCTCTGCTGCGTGGGGCTCGCCCTGTGTACTGGGTGACCCGTCGCAGTTTCTAGGGCCTCTCAGGCTCTCTGATCTCTGGCCCTGTTTGTTGTCTCTGCGCCCGCACATGAGGGGCACTTCTGGTGTTTCCCGGGCAGAAGTGAAGACAGCGTGTGGCTCCTCTGAGCAGCACTGGGCCAGGCCCGGGCAGGTGTCACCGCCAGCCCCCGGGGGAGGCCAAGCCGGAGCCTGCCTGTATTTTATTCGTAAGCCACACACCTGCTCTCTTCACACTGCTTCATGTGGGGCGTTACCTCACTCGCCTGTAGGTAGTCTTGAAAGAAAGATAAAAATAAGCGGAAATGGCATTTCTTCGTTCTTGTTACCTCGCCCGTGAGGAGCTCCCGGGGAGCGCGTCCCGTCCTCAGCCCTCCAGCGTGCCTGCCTCAAGAACGGTGCCACTCTCCCCACTGCAGGTACCAGTCCGTGGTGGCTTCGTACGGGGAAGCCAAGCGGCAGCGTTTCCTCCGCGAGCTGGCGCAGCTGGAGGAGGACGTGCACCTGGCGCGCTCCCACGCCCAGGGCCAGCTGGACAAGCACGCTGTCCAGCACATGGTAGGAGGGCCTCCTGTCTCCATGACAGGCGGCACGGGGCGTGTGGGTTAGCACGACGTGGCCCGAGGGCGGGAGCCTTGCTTGCCCGTGAAGCGTGCCCTGTGCCCCGCGCTGACTCGTCCTTGCTCCCGGGACAGGTGGCGGACAGGCTGGCCTGGGAGAGGTACTCGTTCAAGGAGGAGCGCATGAGCAGAGCCCCCGAGATCCTGGTGCGCCTGAGGTCCCACACCGTCTGGGAGAAAATGTCTGTGAAGCTTTGCTTCACGGTGCAGGGCTTCCCCACGCCTGTGGTGCAGTGGTGAGTGGGGTCTGTCCCCGGGACCGGGGGGGGCCGTACTGCACATTCTTCTGGGACCTGGCAACAGCTGGCCCCCGTGCACGCAGGAAGACAGACCCACATGCACCCGGCCTGTTCCATAGGCCACCGAGCTTGGGAATACACTTACAAAAACTCATAGACTGTCCACCGTAAATGCAATGCTGGCATTTGTATTTCAGTGAAATTAACTCAGCTGACTGTCCAGAGGGTTTTTCTTAAGAGTTCCCTGAAATGACCCCATGTTTATGTGAGCGGCTCTGTTTTTAGTTATGTGAAGACTTACACGTGGAGCTCTGAGCACCGAGGCACTAGGCTTGGTGCTGTGGGTAATTGAACCTTGTAGTGTCACAGGATCAAGTCACCGAGCCCCACGGACCTGTTTCGACATCTGTTGCATACGTAGGTTCATTTGTTTTCCTATTTGCTGGAAGTTGTCATAAAGTCTCCTAGGTTTGTGGCTTCTACAAAAGGTGTAAACATTTTCCTTGTGACCTGGACTGGGGCTCTCGGCAGCATGTCAGAAAACGGTGGCCCTGCACTGGGGCTGTTCACAAGGCTGACCTGGGAGGCCGAGGTCCACCTGCTGTGCACTGCGGGGTGGGGGCGGGGGGGACCTGGGGTGGGGATCGGACGATTCCTCCGGGCAGGCTCCCGTGCGACCAGACCCTGCAGGACGTGCCCTGACCACCCCAGCTACATGGTGGCCCAGATGGCATGGTTGGGGACCCGACTAACACTGGTAATGTGTTTTCCCTCATGGAATGAAATGTCCTGAACCCCTAACAAAGGTTCTGGCTTTGGGCACACACTGTCACAGGTGGGGGTTGCCCGGGTGGTCTGACTTCTGCGGGAGCTTCTCTCCTGCACTGCAGGTGTGGGCCCTGGGCCTTTCCATAGCTTCTCCCCAGCCGCCCACCAGCCCGTGATGCCAGGAGGAGGCCCTTGCAGGAGCTCAGGGAGGGCAGAGAAAGCTGGGACAAAATGCAGAACCTGTCCTTCTTTGCCCTAAAATGAGTGTTTCCCTCGTGCAGGTATAAAGATGGCAGTTTGATCTGCCAAGCAGCCGAGCCGGGCAGGTACAGAATCGAGAGCAAGTACGGCGTGCACACTCTGGAGATCAACAGGTGAGGCCCTGGGGGCACGGCGGGGCCTCCGTGCATAGTCACGTCCCAGACGCAGAAGTCCAGCTTAGACAGGGCAGGTCCCTGTGTGCGCTGCATGTGGCTTTATGGTATTTCTGTGGTGACTTAATTGGTGATAGAAGCTGCCCTTGATTATTTTTTGTGTGGGGCAGAGGGGCGCAGGTGCAGAAGCTCAGTCCAGGCTCCCGGCTGGGAATGGGGGGTAAATGGGCTAAGGAAGGGGGAGGGCGTCCAGCTGTGAGAATCGCGTCCATGCCTGTGTAGGGGCCGCACCCCATGCCAGGCTTGACTGGCAGCCCCTGCAGGCAGCCTCTTCACAGAAATGTAGCCTTTGTTTTTTCTCATGAGTTGAGAAAAAGGCAGAATGCAGGCTAGTAAGAGGAGACCTGGTCAGTCCCGACATCTGGCGTCCGTGTGTCAGTCTGTGGAGCCTCCCTTGGTCCTGCAGAACACACACACGTAAACATAGGTAATTTCTTTTTTTTTTTTTTTTTTTACAAACCTGAGATTTGCTGTTCTTTTTCTCTATATACATGGGTTTTATTTTTTACAGAAAGATCATAGCACCTTTTCTGGCGAACAGCACGTGAATTGTAGAGTAACCGGGAGGCAGGATGTGCGGGGCCTGGGGGGTGCCTGTGCAGGGCTGGGGTGCTGTGCTGTGCCACTGGGGGGCCAGGTGGGCCTCTGCTGAGATGTCTGATGATTTAGACTTGCAGGAGATGGATGAAGAGCGGGGAACTGAGGGGTCGGCTGTCACGGAGGCCCCGGAGGGAGCCTCCGGCCCTGGGGCTGGACCCGTTGGTGGGAGGCTCCGGGCTGAGGGTCTGAAGCCTGTTTGGGTCGTGTCAGACCCTGTAGGTGTCTCAAGGACGTTGGCTTTTACTCAGGCAGAGGGGCCTTCAGAGGAGAGACATTTCAAGGCGTGACTCTGATTAGGGGCGGAGGTGGGGCAGCTGCTGGGAGCTTTGCTGAAACCCAGGAATGTGACGGGCTTGGACGTGGGTGGGAGCAGTCGGGTGCGGAGAGGGGCGTGGGTCCTGCCGAGTCTGGAGAGAGACCAGTAGGACTGGCTGATGGATCGACTCAGTGTCGGTGGGAACTAGGTGGCAAGCACAGTCCCCAAGTCCTGGGCCCATGTGCCAGGCGGGGTGAGGGAGGCCGGCGGGGCCTGCCCAGTGCGTGCGGAGCGTGGAGTCTCCTGGCCCCTTATTGCAGTTTGCAGAGAGTAATTTTCTCTCCTTTGTTTCCCAAGTTTGTGGAAATGTTAATAGACCGTAAGCCATAGTTTCCAGGAGGAGGAGGACATCTACTTTCATTTTGGAGAAAACATTTATTTTCAGGGGCGTGTTTCCTGATCAGGGTGCCTGGGTACTGGTTAGGACAGTTTGAGTCAGCAACTCCCTTGTTTCCAGGCTGTACTTTAATAATTGTCTGAAAAAGAAAAGCCGTCTCCCTTTCTCAAGTTACAGAAAAGTCGTGGTCACATGGGGTTGGGGATAACATAGGCTCTGGACCGCAGGGACTCATACATAGCAAAGGCCTGGGGTACCATAAGCACACGACCTGGGTCGCGGACCCAGGTCTCCTTGGACAAGCTTACGTCTGGTGTAAATGTGCAAATATTCAAGGCATTTGGGAAGAGGAAATTCAAGAGACTTTTCTCTCAACATTTTGATCTGTATTAGGACATTTTCCATAGATGCAAAGTGAATATTCTTCAGAAAAAGGGCAGTGGGGATGCCCACGAGTCACAGCCCTTCCCAGCTGCTCATGTCAAACTGCTGAGTTACTGCCATGTGACCCGAGTCCAGTTCGGGGATGAGGAATGTGCCGGCCCCGCCCCGCACTGGCTCGGGAATGAGCGTTTCCTTCTGTTACAGGGTGACATTTACTCCTATGAATATTCTTTGGCCACTGTCTCCAAATTCTTGAAGTGCCAAAAAGGAAGCTTATGACCCTTTGGTACTGTTTGAATCTAAACTGTAATTGACACAATTTTATACACTCACAAGATTTTCTCTTGGGACTTCTGATGTGAGTTCTATTTCTTCAAATAATTTTAATGTTCTCATGGTTGTGTAGAAGTGTTTAGAGCAATCTGTCTTGTATTTTGTTTGCAGGGCCACCAGTGCCCAGTCCTTCCGAATAACTTTAGCCCCGACCTCTTCTTGTACTTTATTTTTAGACTTTGATATTCAAATTCTAAGTGGAGTTAAACTCAAAGTCCAGCTTCAACACCACTTGTAGTTGAGGACGTGGGACCTCACGCCCCAGGAGAACTCGGTGTGGCCCTGAACATGTCTGCCCCTCCTTCACATAGATGGGGTTCGTGCATTTCTGCCATGGTGTGGTTTGGGGGGCACCTCATATAGGGACGTCAGGATGCCAGGGTGCCATGGAAGTTTGTAAAAACTTGAGACCAGGGGCAATTCTGTCTATTCTGGGAACCTGTCCAAACAGAAAATAAAATGCTCTGCCCCTGATCGCTTGCTTGCAGTTTTCCACACATGAATTAAAGGCTGGAATTAGACAGAGGGCCGGCTAAATGCTGTGTCTCAGTGTAGCCTCGGGAAGCAGAGTCCCCTGGCATGTGGCGACTGCCCGTGGATGGGACTAAGCCGGGCGTGTCTCCTCCAGGCCTGCCTGCCCACCCTGCTGCCGTGCGCCCGCCAGTGCTCTGCTCGCCCCACAGGCACCAGTGGCTGTCTGTCTGCTGTGTGTGTTCCCACATATTTTACACATAGAAAACCTTTACAGAAGAGAAACGCAGAAAGCCGGGATAGCCCTAAACTGAACTGGAAGTGCCCCCCCTTCCTCACGTCCAGCGGGCGGGTGTCTCACACTCCAACCTTGGGGGCTGGCGCCGTGAGTCAGGGGCTCCACCTATTTGGGGGTGGCTTCACAAATAGATGAGCACTGGATATTCTATCTGGACACACGCGTGTGAGCATCACACACACATTCTGCGCATCCTTGCGGAAGGTTCCAAGCGCAGGGATCACGGCCGGCCCGGCCCTCGTGCTGAGCCCTAAGTGCTCACTGGTTTCTCGACAAGCCCGCTGGTGCTAACGTGTCAGGTGGTTCTCGCCGGGACCTTTGTGCAGGGCTTGGATGGAGAGGCAGCTTGAAATCCCACAGGAGGAGCAGTTCCCCAGGTGGGCCTCAGGCGGGACCCTCCCGCTGCTCGCTGTGCACGCCATGGTCTCCAGCTGTTCGGTCCCAAGCCGCGTTCCCTTCTCATGTCCCTTCCGGCTGTGCCCAGCCGAGGGACGGTGAGGCGCAATTAATGGCGGTCCTCACAGTACCGGGACGTGCATGCCGCCCTGCTGGGACACGGAGGTGGCGCAGAGAGCTGGGTCAGTGGGAGGAAGGCAGCCGTCTTCGGACTGTGGTCTGGGAATTCCGCTGATATATGTTCGTTCATAACACACAGGGCGAATATGTGCTATACAATTACAAAGTGTTTTCAGATACATGGTTTCATTTAGTCGTGAGAGTGACTGGAGCAAAGTGTAGGTGCACAACGTGTGTATTTGGGAAGTTGAAAGTGTCTATTATTTATTTGTTATAAAGTTAGCAGAGGAGACCAGCCAAGTACACATGATGAGGGCACAGGCCTGACTCGGAACTCGGGCCTGACTGCAGCCTCCCAACCCTCTCAGAACTGTTTGTCCCCGCTTTTTATTCTGATGGCACCACACTGGAAAAATCCCTGATACACAAAGATAGTGGCTCCACATGCAGTTTCCTTTGCAGTCTCACAGTGTGATTCGATTAGCAGAGAAAGTAAGTGTAGCTCTGGTGAGGGTACAGAGGTTACGCCCTGCTCGAAGTGCGTGGCCAGGTTCCACATGCGACCATTGCACGCACGCTTTGTGCCGCTTTCCGCTGCAGTTTTAAAAACAACCAAAATGCATGTTGAAGAATAAATTGGCAGCACATTTGGCAGCTTCAGTTTGAAAACCACTGATACCGCGTAACATCCAGGATGGTTTTTGACAGGCCTCTGTTCAAGAAGGTAATAAAAAGATTCGTGGGAGCCAACTGAACTTGCCAGGGTGCCTGCACTCTCCTGTGGGGACCCGCCGCATGTGCGTGTCGCTGCTGCTTGCCCAGGAACGGGAGGGCCGCTGCCTGTATGGCCGGCCCGCTTGCCTGGCCTCATGTGCCTGCCTGTGTCTGCCTCTTTGCTCCGCCTGCACCTCCGAGTCCCCGTCTCCAGGCCGTGCTCCAGTCGGGAGACGTGATGAAGCAGCATCTTCAGAGTGCGTTGCTCCTTGCACTGCCTCGCTGGCACCCCAGCTGCCCCGCAGCATGCATGGCTCTTAGGCTGTCACCTGTGGTGCACTGCTGGTGGGGCCGCGGCCTTGCGGAGAAAGGTGTGGGCCGATCCGGAAAGGACGCTGTCCTGTGCAGAATGCTTTTATGAAAATACCATGGTGGCATTGTTCAGAGGAAATAACACAGGTTCAAGGTAAAAACAAATTCAGGCAGTGCCTAAGTATATCAGAAAACCCTGCCCCAGGGCGCCAGAGAGGAGCCACGCAGCCTGTGCGTGGGGTGGACGTGTGCACGAGGCATTATTCAGGTAGAGCAGCACGGAATGTTGATGCTCGGCGATGCCGGGGCGTCTCCACCATGGGGTCTTAGGTGTTTTGTGCTCTGCCCCGGGATCCTCAGCACCTGTGGTGTGTGGAACTTGCACTTGCAGAGCAAAGAAGCTGCTGCCAAGCTCCGGCTAGGACTGTAGCTTTGTGGAGGGTTTGGCTCATATGCCTCCAAGGTGAGCCTGAACATGAGACCCCCCGTGGGACCATCTCCGCGAACCTGGCGCTGCCTGTGGCCTTGAGCAGCTCCAGGGAGGAAGGGGTGGACCTCCTAGCACCGGCCTCTGACACACTTCCCCTTACTTACGGCAACACTGCATTTTTTGGTCAAAGAAAATATTTTCATCTCCAAGTGGAATAGAGAAGAAAATCAGATGACTCATGCCCTCCCAAGAACGGGCCTGGCTCTGGGGAGGTGGTTCCTTACTGCGTTTTAGAAGAGAGGTGTGAGTCAACTTCTTTTTTTTTCGTGCAAGTGGGTTTTTTGTGTGGTTTTCCTTCATGGATTAACATAATGCTCCTGATGCCCACTTTGGGAGGGGCAGAAGCCTGCAGAAAGTGCAGATTTTAGAGCCGTGTGGCCATTGTAAAGTGGCAGAGTGCCTGGCATTTTGAATAAGCTTAACAAATAGCATCTCTTCCTCCTTACAACTCTCTGTCCCAGGAGAGTTTTCCGCAGCAGCTGGTGGGGAAGACACCTCCTAGCCAAGAAAACAGTCTTCGAGCTTTGGCAAGATGGATGGGGTGGGGAGAAGGTCTGTGTGCTTGGGGAACTGGGGCCTGGGGCTCCCTGGTCCTTGCTCTTTCTGGTGAGCTTGTACCCCCTGTAACTGCCCCAGGATGGGGCCTCAGCCGCCTTCAGCACACCCCCGAGTGGGTGTCTCTGGGAGCTCTCATTGCCTTGGGGCTCTGGGCACGATCTCCCATCCACAGGGGGACCCCTGCGGGGCATTGAGGGGGAGTCAGTTCTCCTGGAAACTGGCCACTGGGGCCGCCCATTGCTGAGGTAAGGCCACAGAACCTTCGAGGCAGAAAAATGCAACCAGAAGAGAACATAGACTCTTGAGAATGAGATGAAGGGTTTTTAGAGGTACCAGCATGTTCTTTTCCCCCTTGAAGCCAGAGCCGAGCCGTATGCTGGATCCGACCTTGTTGTGTCTGTGATTAATCCCTTGTCCAGGGACAGAGCTGGCACTGCTCTTGAACAAATCATTCATGACAAAGGATCTGGGTCATGTGTGTTGCTTTCGAGGAGTGTTTGTATTCAGATTTGGGTCACGACTTCCGTGGAGCAGCCCATGGCACGTTTAGGACACCGTCTTGCTGTTTCTCCCCAAGGGCAAACTTTGACGACACGGCGACCTATTCAGCGGTGGCCACGAACGGGCTCGGACAGGTGTCGACCAACGCTGCGGTGGTGGTGAGAAGTGAGTGCCTCCCTGGGCGCCCTTCCTGCCCCTCTCTCTCTCTCTCTGCCCCGCTCACACTTCTGCCTTGCAGGGTTCCGGGGAGACCAGGAGCCCTTCCGTTCCGTGGGACTCCCAGTCGGACGTAAGTCAATCACTTTCTGTTTTGTGCACAACAATGTATAGTGACATACATATAATTAAAAAAAATATTTTGTAACGGTCAAACCTTTTTTTTTTTTTAAGTAATATTTCGAAAGACTCCTCCACGCTTTCCTGGCCGGCGTTAGCGCACTGGCCGTCTGTTCCCATCAAGTCTGTGGCTGGGTGGGATTTTTAGACCCTGTAGACACTGTCACCTTGAGAGACTTGACATTTCTGAATTGGGGGGTAGTAGGAAATGAACCCAAATGCTTCACTAGAGCACAGACTACTTCTACAGTTTTTTTCCCCCCAAAGTTGTGCTCATGTTTGACAAACAGCAGCCTCGGACCCAGATAAGGGCGAGTGGCTGCCTTCACTTGGACTGGCTGCTGGCCTGCTGTTGGTGGCTCCCAGGTCTCCTGACGTGTCTCACACATCCCTTGGCCTGTGTGACTGTGTCCTGCCCTCTTGCTTGCCCGCGGCTGACGGGTCCCTCCTGCGCATTCCGGAAATGTACGTGCTGTCAGCTCCTGCCAGTGCTGACAGACCGTGGGCGCCCCTTCCAGACTGCATGTCCAGGGTGCCCTTCCGTGCCCCGTAATGAGCCTGAGTCCCAGCGCTGGCTCCCGGCCAGAGGCCTGAGGGGCCGTGTTGACCTGAGGCTGGTGAGGGTGGAGGAGGCAGCTGCACTGTCTTCCAGGGACTGTGGCGTGGTGGACCTGCACTGTGGCATTTTCACGGTTTGGGAATGAGATTTAGGACTTGTCTGACCTCCCTAAGGAGTCACTGCCGCATTCCCTGGGCGGCCCTGGGTTCATCACAACTTGAGGTCACAGATCTAGTGTCGCTGAGTGAGGAACTGTCAGGACAATGGCTGTGGTCAGCCTGTGTGTGGCCACGGGATATGTGTGTGGTCACCTGTGGTCCCTGATGTGTGAGTGTCAGTGGATGGGCTCATGTCCCACACTTTGGGGGCATCCAGGACCATCACAGGCAAGCGGGACACGGTCAAGGCCTGGACAGGTGTGGGGGCAGGTGGGTCTGGCACGTGTGGGGGCACGTGTGACGGTGCCTCCGGCTTCCAGGGGCGAGGCTTGTTCCACTGGGAGCGGCAGGGCAGTGTCTCCACCGTCCGTGGTTTCTTCTGTTTACTAACATTTGATCCTTCTAAGGAAAAACTTTGAAGTATTCACAGTGTATCAAGAGCTATAGATCACAATGTAACAGAGGCCATGTACCCATCACCAGTATTTAAGAAGTGTGAATATTCTGCCACTTTAGCTTCAGTTACTTTTTTTAATTGAAGTCAAACTGACACAAGGCAAAACTCAGTTACCTTTAGGAACTACAAGGATCACAGATGACAGAATCCATACCCCATTCCTTCCCTTGCCTGTTTTAGACCTTCTTTCTAACAAACCATTGTTGGGAAGTTTGCGGCTATTTAAAAAGTTTTCCTGCATGATTGTATTTGCAAATCATTGGGGGTCTTTTTGTTTTAAAAATTCACTGTAGATATTCTTCTGAAATGTAGTCCCCTGCCCCAGACATTATACTTTTGAGAGTAATGAGGTGACGCCTCTGGGTCAAGTTAATTCAGTTAGCCTGCCACCTACGCGACATTCTGGGGGGACGCACCACAGTTCGTTTTGAAGACGAGGGGGCTGTGTGACTCAGAGTTGGTGCCACACACCTTGGGGCTGATGGTGGTTCACACCCTTTCCTATAAACGTGGCTCAGGGTCCAGGCCGCCTCCCCGCCCGTCCTTGTGTCGTCCAGGGCTCAGATGACAGGACAGGACTCAGGGCTGTTTTCTTGTTCTCCAAGCCCGTGTCTGCTTGGGCTGCAGGCAAACACCTGGGCGGCTGCAGCTGCAGACATTTACTCGTCACGGAGGGTGGGGAGAGGGTTTCTTCCTCACGTGGAGGAGAGAAGGGGCTCCTGTGTCTCCCTCATCTCATCTCACTGGGGCACTGGTCCTCCCAGGGGGCCCCCTCACCAGCTCCTCTGGCTCTGTGCCTTCCCAGGGGCCCCGTCCTGACACCTTCCACTGGGGTCAGGTATGAACTTCGACATGTGAGTTGGGGTGCATTCTGAGCACCCTGGGGCTCTCCTGAAGGTGGCATGTCCCTCGCGCTCTGCAGGGCCCTGTAATACGCGGTCTGTGCCCCTTGTTGGTGCTTGCCCGCGCCTCCCGCTGTAACATGTCCCTTCTGCTCTGCAGTGCCCTTACCGTCCGTGATCCCGTATATGCACTTTGACGTCCAGTTTTTGGAGAAGTTTGGGGTCACCTTCCGAAGAGAAGGTGAGACCGTCACCCTCAAGTGCACACTCCTGGTGACGCCGGACCTGAAGAGGGTACAGCCACGTGCCGAGTGGTACCACGATGGTGAGTGTGGCCCAGCCGGGTCTCCCCGCACACATCCGCCTGCTGACCTGGCCTCATTAGGGTAGATGTGATGCTGGGACGTTGACTTAGCGTCCTTCTCCCCTACTGGACAGCAGCTGGTGGCCAAGCAGGCTGGACATTGCCTGGACCCTGGGGGCTGTCGGTGACCTTGACCTTCACTGGGGACAGGGAGGTTAACGGAGTGCCTGAATTTAGAGGAGTCATCAGAGATTTCAGAACTGCCTGAAGAGCGTCTGTATTTGAGTCTAAAGAAAAGTGAGGTGTCTGTGTTTTCTATTGGCTAAAACAATAGCTGACGTTTGCTGTAGCCCATTGTGTGGTTGGCCTCTGTTCTGAGTGTGATAATTCACTTAATTTTCACACAGTCTCTGAGATGGGTGGTGCTGATAACTCCGTTACAGAAGGGGGCGCGTCCCCGGGGAAGTGGCAGAGCGGGGGTGTGGCTCCGGCCGTTTGGCCCAGACCACCTGCCGGCACGGCCTGGTCGGGGGCTGTGTCTGCCCTGGGGAAGGAGGTGTCTGCACCTCGTTCTCTGTGGATTCAGTGTCCTGCCTGCACTCACTCAGGAGCTACACGCTGCAGACGTTGCAGAGAGACAGACCCCACCCGCCCACAGCTATTGATGGTCTAGTTGGAGAGAATACATAAAATCGTGAAGTGCTGTCTTGCAAAGTGTAAGCAATGTCCCAGATCTGGGTGTGAGGATTCACCAAATACATGGACCTGACCGGGCAAAGTGCAAAGTTGAGCCACTGGAGTGGGTTTGGAGGAGGGACAGTGCTCGGAAGGGACCGGGGAGGCTTTCCGGGGGGGGGCTGGAGGGTCAACTCTAGAGCCGCTTCTGGTGACCCGGAGGTGCCTGCGTTCACCCACCCACACCAGCTGGGGACCAGGATCTGCAGCTTCAGAGCCTGTCTGCAGCCTCCTGGCCTTAGACCCCGGGGCGGTCGGGAATAGCTGCACAGCTTGCTCTGTGTGAACAGCTGCCATCAATCTTGGCCGGCTTTATTATTCCAAGGAGAGCCGCAGAGGGTTCTCGGTGGCTTAGGTTTAGACGTTAAAATGCAAGGACACAGTTTTTCATTCTTTCAAATTTATGAGCTGTGAGCCCCCCAGGTGATCTCACTCAATAGAGTGACTACCTGGCTCACACCCGGGAGGTGTACTGAGCAAACAGGAAATGGGGAACTGGGGGCCCCCAAAGATAGATTAGAACTCTCCACCTCAGAGACGAGCTGCCGGCTACTCACCATGAAATGAGACTCCTGTGGGGTGCAGTTTGCACCGGTTTGGTGAATCACAGTGACTTAGGGCCCATTGGGGACGGGCTCCAGCTGGGCACCTGCTTAGAGAGCAGGACGCTGCCTGGAGGGCCTGCCTGGTAGCTGATGATCACAAGTGTCTGTGCGTCTGTATTTGCTGCATGTTTAGTTGTGGGTAGGGTTTGTCCTTCAGTGTGTGAAGGGCTCTGCCAGGGACACAGGTTCTCTGGAGCTGTGCCAGGTGGTCATCTCTGAGTACCTGGTGTCTTAAAGTCTGTTCAGCTGCCGTAACAAAAATACCTCCATCTCTTGGGCGTGAACTGCAGCCGACCTGTCAGGGTCTGGAGGCGGGGGTCCCAGGTCAGGCCCGGCTGATTCTATGCCTGGTGAGAGCCGATTCCCATCTTGCAGACCAGGGAGCCTACCGTCTGCGTGTTCACCTCATGGCCCCGCCTCCCCAGTCCTTGGCCGAATTTTGCATTTTAAGTTGCACTTTGCATACATTGCTTGTATTGTATTTTTACTGTACTTACTGTGTATGCGGTTTTGTGCTGCTTCCCCTGGGAAGGAGGGGAAAATGGATAAAACACCTTAGAACATCTATTCTTATGACCCTTTTGCCATTTCTATTCATGGTGGTGCCCAAGGGGAACTTGGCCCTTCTATGCATACTGTGTGTGCCATGCTGGGCTCTCCTGAGCTGCACGGTCAAGTTGGATACGCACCAGATTTTAAAAAATAAAAATAAAAAAATGGCTCCTTTTTCTTGTAACATACGTACAGCGTATGTTGATTGCAAAGAATCTCCTGAGTTATAATCTCTCCCACCAAAAATTTACAGTTACCACTTTGTCATATGTTTTATCTCTGAATCGTAGGTAATTTTTTAAGCAGAAAAAATGTATTCAATTTGAAATCAATTTTTTTTCACTTACCAAATGCCGAACCTACGTCCTGTGGCAGTGTCACCCTGACACTGCTGGCTGGGTGGCTCCTGCCTCTTCCCAGGTGTGAGGCCGCCCTTTCTCACGCTTGCTGAGTCAGGACATGGGAAATAATTTCCCCACTTTTATTTGAGTTTCCTAGACTTCCGGTTGTGCTTATTGATCACCTGCATTTTGTGGCCACCTATCACTGCCCCTTGACCAGTGTTCTGTTGGTACTTTTCTTGTTTGTTTCTGAGTAATGCTGACGGAGGACGTGCACCGTGCAGCCTCCCACACACGAGAGCATTTGCCAGTGAGGAGGTCTGTGGGCGGCAGGGGGCGGTGCAGAGGGAGCCAGCCGAGGCAGGGACCCTCAGCTGGAGGCTGGAGCTGCGGTCGGCCTGCCCGAAGGCAGAGCCGTGCACCTCAGGACACGTCTGCGCACAGTCCAGACACTGACCGTTGTCCTCCTGCAAAATCTTTTTCACTCTCTGTCCTTCACCGGTGTGCGTGCTCTGTGTGTGAGGCTCCCAGATTTCTGTGAGGCGAGGCCTCGATCCCTGTGTCCCCATGTGACCGCCATCGGTCCTCTTACATTCTCCTTGATCTCTTTGATGTTTCTGAAGCCACCTTGCATTTGAACGCTCTTGCAGGCGTGCTGGTCAAAGAGTCTAAGTGGACCGAGATGTTCTTCGGAGAGGGCCAGGCCTGCCTGTCCTTCAGCCACCTGAACAAGGACGACGAGGGCCTCTACACGCTGAGGATCCTGTCCCGAGGGGGCGTCAGCGAGCACAGCGCCTTCCTGTTTGTCAGGGGTATGCGGCTCTGGGAGGAAGTGTCAGCTCAGAGGTGGGGCTCAGGGAGTGGGGGCCTGGGCTGGGCAGAAGTGACCCCACTCCTCAGAAACATCCTGGCGGTGAGGTGGTGTGTCCTGGGCGCACATGAGGCCACATCCTACAGCAGGCCTATGACGTAAGCACACATGGTGGGAGCAGATCAGCATCACTCTTTATAAAACCGAGAGGGACATGCCTGCATTATTAATTCCCGAGGGGTCAGAGGGTAAGTGGGTAAGTTATGTATTCGTGTATATAATGTACATACATGTATATGTGTGCGTGTACATATAAGTATATGTGTGTATACACACACTGTGTATATGATCTAAAATTCTCATAACAGTTTTGTTCAAGGGCAGATGTTGGAGGCTCTAGAGGGGATCACCTAGGGTGGGTTCCTGGGGTGCAAGCTCAGGGCCCCGGGGGCTCACCTTGGGTGGGTTCCTGGGGTGCAGGCTCAGGGCCCCAGGGGCTCGCCTAGGGTGGGTTCCTGGGGTGGAGGCTCAGGGCCCCAGGGGCCCTTGCAGAGCTGGGTCCTCAGTTCTTCTCCACACCCTGCCCAGCTAACCCTGACCAGACCCCTGTGAACCACTGTGGAATCCATACACTGATTGCCAGCTGGCCAGGGGCAGCCGTCCTGGTCCTGACGCCCAGCTGGCCGCTCTGCCCTACATTCCGACCTGCCCAGCCTTACCTGCTGCCCGCTCACTGTTTCTGCACCTTCATTCCCACCTCCAGCTCCAGGTTTTGGGTGCCCAGAACACTCTTATCAGCGTATTAGCTTTTCCCCCTGGATCTGTTAGGCCACAGCACAAAAGAAGTGTCACACCACCAGGGAACATTTCAGCTTACAGAGGAAAACCACAAACAGATTGGAAGCACACTCACCCTCCCCACCCCATAAGATGCCATGAACTGGCAAGGCTGAGCTTTTAGACACTTCTGCAGAGTCTGACCAGTTTTACTAGGTGGGCATCAAAGCGCACCTCCTGTTCTCTATGTCTGCCTTCTGGCAAGACGTTTCACCCCGTAAAAATGCAATAAATACAACGTGGCTGTAATTGCTGTGCTTATTCAGCACTGACAGCAGAAAAAAACAGTGCACGTGGGGGGAGTTTAACAATTCTGATTACTTTCTGAGGATTTCTAGTGTGAGGGGATATATTTGACTCAGTGTCAAGAAATCCTTGGCTTTTAATATGCTGAGGAGATGTGAGCAAGGAACCATGATGCTCCTGTGGATGGGTGTGTGGCAGCCACACTGCTGAGTGAATAGACATTGTAGGTGAGGAAATGAAATGCTCAGCATATTAACTTTCTAAATAGGCTGTTGGCCTTCAGTGCCCCTGTGTTAAAATCTGAAAACAAGCCCTAGCTGCACTGTGATCGTAGAGTGAAGTGTGGACCCAGGCACTTGATCACCACCTGCAGGAAAAAAATGTTTAAATCCTCCAATCTAAGCATTTTAGAAAATAGAAGTGTCTAAACTAGCATTTCTCAAGTGTTAAAAAGGCCACGTTATTATTACCGTTTCATCGATCTGGCAACAATTATGTGCGAAGAAGCCACCGAGAGACGGCGAATGTCAGGTGAACTAGGTTGGGTCTGGTTGTGGAAACGCGTAGCCTGGAGTGTGTTACAGGAAGCCGTGAGTGTGAGCTCCTAACTGCATTTCCACCTCTCATCCCTGCTCCGTCATCGTCCCGGCATGGCTGGGCGCGTGGACCTGAGGACTGAGCCGTAGGTCACACCAAGCAGTGGGAACTCTGAGACCGGAGCCCCTGCCAGTGGGCTTCCCAGGGCCCCTCTGGCTGCTCCCAACCGCGCGTCCTCTCCTCCTGACAGATGCGGACCCGCTGGTCACAGGGGCTCCTGGTGCACCCATGGACCTGAGGTGCCACGATGCAAACCGTGATTATGTCATTGTGACGTGGAAGCCTCCCAACACCACCACCGAGAGTCCCGTCATCGGCTATTTCATCGACCGGTGAGTGCCCACTGTGTTTTCCAGGGATGGAACTGTGCATATTCCTGTGGGCAGCAGCTGGGCCCTGCTCTAAACTCAGGCTTGTGGCCCCGTTCCTCATGGGGTCCAGGTACCTTGCTATTTGGTTGCTTAATGTTCCTGAGCGGGTTACTAAAAAATGGTGCCAACTAGGCAGGCCTGGCGTGACCACGTTCGATCGCCTCGTGCTGTAATCGGAGCTCTGCTTACCCGCCCCGTGCCCGGCATTGAGCCCCAGCCTGCTTTCCTGGTGCCTGTGGCCCTGCTGTTGCAGTTCTATGGGAGGGCTCCCCCTGCCCCTCTCGGAGCGAGACTGGGCATGGTCAGCTCTGGCTAAGGATGCGGCTCGTCCGTGCCCAGTCCTATTCCCTATTAAACAAGGGTTTCTTCTTATTTCTGAGCAAAGGATACTGATGTGCAAAGTAGAAATTACTGGAATTTATGTTCAAGTTGGGCGTCAGCGAGCACAGCGCCTTCCTGTTTGTCAGGGGTATGCGGCTCTGGGAGGAAGTGTCAGCTCAGAGGTGGGGCTCAGGGAGTGGGGGCCTGGGCTGGGCAGAAGTGACCCCACTCCTCAGAAACATCCTGGCGGTGAGGTGGTGTGTCCTGGGCGCACATGAGGCCACATCCTACAGCAGGCCTATGACGTAAGCACACATGGTGGGAGCAGATCAGCATCACTCTTTATAAAACCGAGAGGGACATGCCTGCATTATTAATTCCCGAGGGGTCAGAGGGTAAGTGGGTAAGTTATGTATTCGTGTATATAATGTACATACATGTATATGTGTGCGTGTACATATAAGTATATGTGTGTATACACACACTGTGTATATGATCTAAAATTCTCATAACAGTTTTGTTCAAGGGCAGATGTTGGAGGCTCTAGAGGGGATCACCTAGGGTGGGTTCCTGGGGTGCAAGCTCAGGGCCCCGGGGGCTCACCTTGGGTGGGTTCCTGGGGTGCAGGCTCAGGGCCCCAGGGGCTCGCCTAGGGTGGGTTCCTGGGGTGGAGGCTCAGGGCCCCAGGGGCCCTTGCAGAGCTGGGTCCTCAGTTCTTCTCCACACCCTGCCCAGCTAACCCTGACCAGACCCCTGTGAACCACTGTGGAATCCATACACTGATTGCCAGCTGGCCAGGGGCAGCCGTCCTGGTCCTGACGCCCAGCTGGCCGCTCTGCCCTACATTCCGACCTGCCCAGCCTTACCTGCTGCCCGCTCACTGTTTCTGCACCTTCATTCCCACCTCCAGCTCCAGGTTTTGGGTGCCCAGAACACTCTTATCAGCGTATTAGCTTTTCCCCCTGGATCTGTTAGGCCACAGCACAAAAGAAGTGTCACACCACCAGGGAACATTTCAGCTTACAGAGGAAAACCACAAACAGATTGGAAGCACACTCACCCTCCCCACCCCATAAGATGCCATGAACTGGCAAGGCTGAGCTTTTAGACACTTCTGCAGAGTCTGACCAGTTTTACTAGGTGGGCATCAAAGCGCACCTCCTGTTCTCTATGTCTGCCTTCTGGCAAGACGTTTCACCCCGTAAAAATGCAATAAATACAACGTGGCTGTAATTGCTGTGCTTATTCAGCACTGACAGCAGAAAAAAACAGTGCACGTGGGGGGAGTTTAACAATTCTGATTACTTTCTGAGGATTTCTAGTGTGAGGGGATATATTTGACTCAGTGTCAAGAAATCCTTGGCTTTTAATATGCTGAGGAGATGTGAGCAAGGAACCATGATGCTCCTGTGGATGGGTGTGTGGCAGCCACACTGCTGAGTGAATAGACATTGTAGGTGAGGAAATGAAATGCTCAGCATATTAACTTTCTAAATAGGCTGTTGGCCTTCAGTGCCCCTGTGTTAAAATCTGAAAACAAGCCCTAGCTGCACTGTGATCGTAGAGTGAAGTGTGGACCCAGGCACTTGATCACCACCTGCAGGAAAAAAATGTTTAAATCCTCCAATCTAAGCATTTTAGAAAATAGAAGTGTCTAAACTAGCATTTCTCAAGTGTTAAAAAGGCCACGTTATTATTACCGTTTCATCGATCTGGCAACAATTATGTGCGAAGAAGCCACCGAGAGACGGCGAATGTCAGGTGAACTAGGTTGGGTCTGGTTGTGGAAACGCGTAGCCTGGAGTGTGTTACAGGAAGCCGTGAGTGTGAGCTCCTAACTGCATTTCCACCTCTCATCCCTGCTCCGTCATCGTCCCGGCATGGCTGGGCGCGTGGACCTGAGGACTGAGCCGTAGGTCACACCAAGCAGTGGGAACTCTGAGACCGGAGCCCCTGCCAGTGGGCTTCCCAGGGCCCCTCTGGCTGCTCCCAACCGCGCGTCCTCTCCTCCTGACAGATGCGGACCCGCTGGTCACAGGGGCTCCTGGTGCACCCATGGACCTGAGGTGCCACGATGCAAACCGTGATTATGTCATTGTGACGTGGAAGCCTCCCAACACCACCACCGAGAGTCCCGTCATCGGCTATTTCATCGACCGGTGAGTGCCCACTGTGTTTTCCAGGGATGGAACTGTGCATATTCCTGTGGGCAGCAGCTGGGCCCTGCTCTAAACTCAGGCTTGTGGCCCCGTTCCTCATGGGGTCCAGGTACCTTGCTATTTGGTTGCTTAATGTTCCTGAGCGGGTTACTAAAAAATGGTGCCAACTAGGCAGGCCTGGCGTGACCACGTTCGATCGCCTCGTGCTGTAATCGGAGCTCTGCTTACCCGCCCCGTGCCCGGCATTGAGCCCCAGCCTGCTTTCCTGGTGCCTGTGGCCCTGCTGTTGCAGTTCTATGGGAGGGCTCCCCCTGCCCCTCTCGGAGCGAGACTGGGCATGGTCAGCTCTGGCTAAGGATGCGGCTCGTCCGTGCCCAGTCCTATTCCCTATTAAACAAGGGTTTCTTCTTATTTCTGAGCAAAGGATACTGATGTGCAAAGTAGAAATTACTGGAATTTATGTTCAAGTCAATGATACAACGCACATCATCACGAGCCCCTGGGGGTGTGAACCCCCACGTCCCTCTCCTTAGTGCGGCGCCTGGAAGGAAACCCAGCAGAGCCGGACAATTTCTTGGATATGCAGTTTATGCGTCAAAGGCACATTTCAATCACCGAGAGATACTGTAGTCGGAGAAAATGAGTATAGAAGTAGGACGGTAGGGTCAGGGCCATGGGGTCCCGAGCGGGCGGGTCTGGGGAGCAGCTCGGGGTTTCATATGCACGGAACATGGTGACACGAGACGGTCATTTCAGAGAGCAGCCAGCCAGCTCAGGGTGTGGGTGTCCTGTTGACGGAATTCTCCTCTCCAGCCCCCAAAAGCTACTTGTTTAGGTAGAATATTCACAGGGTAATGTTTTGATACGCAGAGTGCATTTTTCAGGGTTTACCTTGAGTTAAAAAAACAGAAAAACAAAACAAAACAAAAGCTATTGTCTATTCTCCTGTGACATATGGTAATTTTTTTCGACCATTTGTCAAAATCGGTTTCACGCACCTTCTCAGCTGGAAGCCCCTTTTCCCAGTCCATCACCAGGAAAGATGACAGCGGCAGAGCCTTCTGGGTGGGCGTGGGGGCTGGGCTGTGTGCCTTTCCTGCCCTCCTCCTGTCCTGAGACTTGCCAGGGGCTGGCCGGCTGAGTTTTCCTGCCAGACCCTCAGCGAGGACATGTCGTACTCTGGTGAGGCAGGTCGGTACATGGTCAGAGGACTTGGGTTCAAAGTCCCGAAAGGTTAGGAGGAAAGAGAGTCGACTCTTTCTCAGTAAATCCGCAACCCTGACCTGACACGGAACGGCTCCTAAAGATGAATTTTCTGAACTTGCTATTTTCTCCTGGGAATTTGACATGAGTCATGGGTACTAAAATTTCTCAACCTATGAAAAATGGAGGTTAATCTTTTCTACATTTTCAGGTTTCTGGTTGGGATTTAATTATATTTTCACAAGAATTTCAAATCCCGCATGAGAAGCGTGCTCACAAGAAGGTCACCATTACTGGTGTAGGTGGCGAGCCAGCATCGTACAGTCCAGCACTGTGTGGAGTGAGGGGCCATTGCATTTCCTGAGCCTCGGCACTGGGTGTGCGGAGGAGCTTGGGGGCAGCTGTGGTGTAGATGGGAAACAGAACCGTCGAGAATGGCTCTGAAGTGATTTCTGGAGGAGATTTTGCCTAAAAATGTGATTGAAGGCAGGAACTGATGTTCAAGCTATAAATTATAAAGGCTTAGGGCAATGTGTGTATGTACATAACATTTCCTGAACAGCTGTCTTTTAAAGTTCATTTATAGTACTTGTATAAGTAATTTTAAGAACATTGGTTTTTACCAATATGAGATATTTTCCTGTTCATGGTATATGCATGATTATGTGTATCATAACAGGATATATGTATAATCACACATACACCTGTATGTACTTATTAGACTGATGCACTTGTATCCTCTACCCTCCCCTTGAAGCTGTGAGGTGGGAACCAACAGTTGGGTTCAGTGCAATGACGCCCCCGTGAAGGTCTGCCAGTACCCCGTGACCGGACTCCACGAAGGGAGGTCTTACACGTTCCGCGTGAGGGCGGTCAATAACGCAGGCATCAGCAGGCCCTCTCGAGTGTCTGAAGCTGTGGCTGCCCTTGACCCCATTGACCTTGAAAGGTTACAAGGTAGGTCGTGAACATGCCAGGTTCCAGCTGTGATGGGAACTTGGGGCTGGGTGTGTGGTTTGCTCTCTCTCGTACCCGCTGCTGTCTTCGAGCGTCAGGAACAGCTCTAAGGCCCAGCCTGGTGTGGCAATTTCAGGGTCTCCCATGTTCCCCTCGAGGTCACGTGAGGAGAGCGCACAGCCAGGCTGACATTCGTGCTTTGACAGGAATGTTCTTCATCTCCCTAATGCTCTTCACTGAAATCCAGCTGTACTGGTTCAGAACTAGACTCTCCTTCGTCTGTTGATGGTGCCATTGCAACGTATAATGACACAGAGGACACATTGAAACCAAGCTCCGCTATTTCGAAGTTTAACTTCACATGATACAGATTGTTAGTGGGTTTGAGCCCGTAATTATGGTTTTAAGCAAAGCAATAATTTTCCTGACCCGCGTGGTCTTTTGAGTCCAACACAAAGAGCTGAGAGGCACTGCATGTTAAGAGGACTCCCCAAACATCTACTCTGCGGATGTCAGTGCACTGAGCACATTGTCCCCTAACGCACTGGTGATGGGAACCTGGCAGGGAAGCCAGTCTGTCTTTAGGAAGTCCTTGGATATGAAATGCCGTCCATGTTTCTCTCTGCAGCTGCCCATCTGGAGGGACATAAAGGCATCGTGATCTCTCAGGATGAGCAGGAAGGTAAGGGGCTCTCTGCTCTCAATTGCTCGTGCCCCAGGGCTGGGGTTGTGACCAGAGGTGAGGGACATGGTAAGAGAGCCGGGCCAGCCTGCAGGCTGGAGCCTGTGGGGGTTTAAGAGAGTAAGGTGGCTGCGGAGGAGCAGGGGGTGGGTGGGTGTGCGGCAGACCCCTCCCCGCCTTCCCTGGGGCACACTGATGCGTTCACTTGGGGACTGGAGGCTGGAGACGAGGCCAGATGGCTTCTGGGTCTGTGTTACTGGCTGGGGCTGGGGACCTTCTCTCCAGCTCCATTCGTGGGAGGGTATTTTACGATTATTTTCTTAGGTGAGAATTTTATTTCCACATTTTAAGTGAAATGGATTGAGTCTTTCCTACCAAATAGTGTTCCTGCTTTGAAAGTTTGCATTTCCCTTATTTGTATTTTATTTTATGAATATTCTTCCTAGAGATAACTGAGAAGACCAATTTACTAAGAAGGAGAATCTAGCAATATTAATCAGAAATCCAAAGATTTTAACTGGACTTAGAGTTTATAGAGGACAATGATTGAAAACTTAAAAAAAAAAAAAAAAAGGATTATCGTGGAGCCCCAGCCTAAGGAGAGACTGCCTTTGAGGGCTGAGGGCAGCTGTGCCCTGAGTGCCTAGTGTTGCCAGAGGCCCGCACGTTCTGTCTCGAGAGCTGCAGGCTCAGAAGTTCATGGTTGATTTCCATATCGTCCCCCAAATTGTGTCCAAACAGCTTATCTTCTGCCCCATGAAGATTTTTCTGTAGCATCTCAAAAAGAACACATGCTTCCCAGAGGAACATCTTTTAAGATTTCTGGTTAATCCCGCAGTAACGTTTAAGTCATAGTTAAACCTCTGTTTCCAGAAAAACCCAGAAACTGGGTAAGATGGCCAGTAAATAAGTAACGAGAACAAAATTTGGGAAAGGTTGACTTATTATGACTTTCTAAGTAACTGATTAAAATGTTGACGTTTGAAGAAAAGATGTTTTCCTCTTTCGTTCCCCTCTTCTGAGAAGGCGGTTTCCAGGTGCCCAGGTCCTGGGCCTCATTTTATTTGCTGTGTCCAGGAAGGTGGCCGTGCTGCGTCCACACTCGGGGAGCCGTCCTGAGGCTCTGTTCCTGCATCTCGTCATGAACGCAGGGGGAGGATGGCGGACGGGACACGGTGCGCTTTGGGGCGTTGATGTGGCCCCGGGGTTCAGCTGTGTGGGCCTAGGGTCTCTGGGGTGAGGCTTGGGCGCCGCGAGCGGGAAGCCCAGGGTCTCCCACAAACCTGTACGACATAAAATTCCTGTACACGGACAGACGGGTTTGCAAGTTCATGTGTGTACTTGACTCATTTTAAACAAACAACGAATACGTCTTCTAATTAAAAAAGTCTTGTGAGAGGAACAGGCCCCAAGATATTTCCAAGCAGATCATTTCTGGGTTAAAAAAAAAGGCGTATCACAGTATAACACTGAGAAGACAAGTAGTGACTCTGTAGCATCTTACTACGCTGATGGACGGTGACTGCAATGGGGTGCGGGGGGGGGCCTTGATAATAAGGGGAGTCTAGTAACCATAATGTTCTTCATGTAATTGTACATTAATGATAGCAAAAAAAAAAAAAGGCCTCTTAGACAGTTCTCTTTTCTCCCTGTCTCGCTTTTCTTCTGCTAAGCCGATCCTGTTCTTTTAGTGTTGTTTCGGTGAGCAAAGAAAATGCCATTTGTTTTAAGAAAAAGAAGCATTACTATTTTTGGCTCAAAAAATTGTTCCTCTGCTGTTTTAGGTTTTTCTGCAGTTTTTCTAATCACTTTGATCTTCGTTGGTGTCTTTCTGCAAACATTTTAATCCCGTCAGTGCCCTTCCCTGGTATCACCCAACTTTTCTAGTCTTTCTTGAGTTGCTGCATTGAGGGGATGCTCTATTCTTGGAAAGGCCAGATAGCGTCTTGCAGAATATGAGGAGGCTGTTTTTGTTGAGTTGTGCACCCACGCGCCGGGTGCCATGTGGCAGGTGGGGAACCTGGCAGCCGGTGTCGGCGTGCTTCTGTACCCTGGAGGTGGTGCTCCTTGCTGGCCGTTGTGAGTAGTGCTTCTGGGCCCTGTCACCCTGGGGAGCCTGCAGATGCCAAGCAAACGTCGTGCTTGGTTGACACAGGGCATCTGCCGGGGAGGCTGTGGAGGCAGTGATTTCCCGGCATTGACCGCGGCAGGCGGGCTATGCAGGGAGACCTCTGCCGGGCCCTGGTCAGCCCCTCGGAGCGAGTGGTCTGGGGCAGCACACATTTGCCTGAGCCCTAATCTGAGCTCCGCGTCACTGCACATTTCCATTTTCACCCAGGATCGCTGAGACTCCTTGGAACAGGCCCCGGGAGGCCTGCCGCTGTGGGGGCCGAGGCCCGGGACAGCCTGTGGCCAGCGGCTCTGGACCTGGAGGCTTGGGCCCCCTGAGGGCATTTGTTGGCTCTGCTCATGCTGCTCTGTTTTCCTTGCTCACCTGCCCTCAGCGTGCGCTCAGCTGCGGGCAGTGGTGACGGAGGTCAGGGCCCTTGGTGGCCCTCGCCTCGGCCCCAGGGCTGTTCTGAGTCCTCTCGGTCAGACTCTCTGCCTGTCCTGCTGCAGGGCCCCCGGACGCAGCCTGAAGTCAGGGCAGCCTTAGTATCTCGCCCCTGTTGGGGAGTCCCTGCTGACAGAGGCGTCAGTAAAATGCTTCTCATTCTGTTTTCTCTGGGCCCACAAGCTACGGGCCAGGTCTAAACACAGAGACGTGCCAGCGAAGAAGATGGTTTTGCCTCCTCGTGCCCACGTTCTCTGTGTTTCCTGCTACCTCACTGCTTTCCTTCTTATCTCGTGCGTGGCATGCCTCCCGGTCCCCCCAGCACCTCCGTGGCCACGAGCAGCCTTGGAGGTAGGGCGTAATCTCCGAGTGGGTCCCTGTGTTGGCTCTTGGTGCCATTCTTTGGATCGCATAGGTGGGGCCCCAGCTCGGTGTCCTTCAGCCCTGGTGCTCCACCTGGTCTCCCTGGCACCTGCCACCTGCCTGGAGACACCCTGACTCCTTGCTTGAAACCCGACCCACCCGCTGGCATGCTCCTGAGTGAGGCCGTGGCCCCACATCTGTGCCTGTGTGGCCTGGAAAATGTGATGAGCTCTGTAACTGGACTCCCATGAAATGAAACCCAGTCTTGTTTGTGCCATTTCCACATGGCTGTTCAATTTCTTGCTGGCCACAGAGGCCTGAGGGAGCAGTTGGATCTTGAGAAGGGTCAGAGATGTCCTGGGGCCATTTTGAACCATTTTAATTATGTGCTAATCTACCTGGAAGCTCATATTTTGTATCGCAATTACAAGGCCGCGGGTCTGGAGAAGTTCCACCCTTCTGAAAAGCTCTCATGCCCAGACACAGTGCCTGACCTGATGTCGCGCTAGAAGGACGTGTGTCGGGAGGCACGCAGAGCGCATCTCTGACCTCACGCACTCTGTCACAGTGATCTCCAAAAGTCTTGTTGGTGCCTCTCTGGGATTTAATTCAAATACATCGGTATAGAGTCCAGAGCTCCTGGTGGGCACAGGTCTGCCCAGGGAGGGAAAAGCAGTGGGCTTTTTCAGGTCGGCATATAGTTTGAGTGCTTTGCGGGCAGGCGTTTGAGGAAAATAACCAGAGAGGCCGTCAGACCAAGTGCGGTCGCACCCACAGTGGCTCCCCACGGCCGGCGGCCTGCTGACGCCTGGTCTGCAGAGATTCCCTGGACAGCCCCACTTCGGCTTACATGCCCTGTTTCTCCTGGGGAGATCCTTCCCCTCTTTAAGATGAAACTCAGAAGACTTTGGGATCAGATTTTTTAATGAACTGGCTTATATCAGAAACAGAAGTAGCTGGAAGGTCTTCGCTGATGCGCCACTGTTTGGCTCTGAAAAAGGGTCCTCACGGTTAGCATCCTTCCCGAAGATAGAGGTGCCGTGAAGGCCAACACCGGCATGCAGCTCTCAATGCCGGTAACGGACATGGGCCGCTGCTCGTAGCTGGGCGCAGCGGGCCGGCCGGGGTCCGTCCAGCCTCACTGGGTTTATACTCCTGCAGGCGAGGTTCAGATTCCAGCACCTCCCACCAATGTACACGCCTCGGAGATCAGCAGAACACATGTTGTCCTCAGCTGGGACCCACCTGCTCCCCGTGGCAAGGAGCCGCTCTCGTATTTCATCGAGAAGGTACTCTGTGCGCTTGTTTCCCGAAATAGCAAATCTCTGTAGGATTCCACCTTGTGGAATTTCGTGTGCTCTGGAGATGAGCAGCTATCCGGTCAGTCATCACGGACCTCACACTGTCACACACTGGGAAGCTGACGGCCAGGCTGGGCTGTGGATACAGGCAAGCAGGGAGGTGGGTGTCGGGGGATCGAGCCCCAGGCTGGCGCTGCCACCTTCATGTGAGCGAAGGTCCTGTCCCTGTGGAGGCCCCATGCCCTGCTGGCCCCGGAGGGACCGTTTGCCTCTGCTCTGTGCCGGTGTCCACGCTGCACGGCCGCTTGGTGGCGCTCTTGTACAGGACGTCGCACGAGACGGAGCCACATTAGAATCACTGGTTTGAAGACTGCTTAGATCTGGAGGCAGGGTGCTGGCGTCCAGTGCCTCCTGCAGTCTCGTGGGGTGTGTGCATGGCCCCCCAGAGCACCGGGCCTGCATGCCTCCCTCCAGCCCTGCAGACCCCAGGAGCTCCTGCCCCAGTGGGCTCCCAGCTCTCCTCAAACTCCTAGAAAATTGGCAGAAGACCCTGGCAGGTCTTCCTCCCTCCCTTCTCCCTCCCCAGCGCCTTCCTCCTGTGCAGGATTTGCAGGCCCTTTGCTCTCTGCCCGGCTCCCCAGGTGGGCTACGGATGGGCTCATGGGCCTCTTACCTCAGATGCCTGTGTAGCGCCGAGAAAGTGACTTCACTTTTCCCAAAGTGAGAGAACACTTCTTTACATGCAAGCCTAATTTCTCGAAGCCCCAGTCACTGGCGGGTTTTCCCAGTGCTCATTATTAGCAGGGCCACTCTGCACCCAAGTTCTGCTCTCTCCTCTTCCCTTCCAAAAGGGGTTTTATCAGTATAGGGAAAAATCAAACATGAACTGATGTTTTAAAAGTAATTATCAATGGTAAAAGTGAAACATGCAATATAGAAAATGCAGACAATGCAGACACTATATAGAATAAAATGGAAATCACCAGTAAAGCCATCATATGAAATAGTCATCATTAACACATGGCACGTATATTTATAGTCTTTTTCTTTATAGGTTTTTAGATGTTTGATACATCCTAGATACAACTTGTATCCCATGCTACATTTAACAAAATGATATGATTCCTCTAGTCTGATTAAAGCTCTATACAGTAACTTAAATGGCTACATGTTTAAATGTACAGATGTATCATAATGTATCTCCCTTCTTGCTGAGTTATTTAGATTGCTATCACTTTATTACTGTTACAATAGCTGCAAAACAAAGTTTTAAACTGACAAGTGAACACTTGGGTTATGTTGGAATTTTATGAATATACCCCTTAGTTATCTTTAATTATTTATAGTTCATTCTGCTTACTGAAACTACAAATTATGTATTGATTCCCTTAACTATTCTATGATGTATTTGCTTTTGTATAAAAACTTTTATTGGTAAGCATTTCCAAATTTGGGTAATACCTTACTTAATTCTCTAAATTGGCTTGCTTCCATTTTAATAAAATTCAGAAACAATTTATAGATGGACCAGTACGTGCAGTGCGTGGTGGCCCTCCTGAAGGTGTAATAGGGTGAGCTAATGCAGGGTGTTTCTGCTTCTCTCCATAGTCCATAGTGGGGAGTGGGACCTGGCAGCGGGTCAACGCCCAGACGGCCGTGAGGTCCCCTCGGTACGCCGTCTTCGACCTTGCGGAGGGGAAGCCATATGTATTCCGAGTTTTGTCAGCAAATAAGCATGGCATAAGTGACCCGTCTGAAATCACGCCCCCCATTCAGGCGCAGGATACAATCGGTGAGTCGTCACAGCAAGTGGCCAAAACTTAGGACAGGCCTCCAATCAGGTGTCGTCAGATAGCCATTCTATTGCGCCGAGAAAGACATTCATGTTGCATGTGAGCTGAAATTCAAGTTGTCTTAAAATTCCACTTTACAGGAGAAGAAGCTCTCCCCGCCATGTTTTGGCCAGTTGTCAACATTTCTCCAAAGTTCCACCCTTTTTCATGAAGCTGATAAATGGGTTAGAAATAATTTTAGGCAATGGCCACTTTTAAAAAAAATCCCGACCCTAAATGCACTGGAGTTTCTTGCCCATATGGCTTGAAGTTCCCTCTCCGAAGATGTCTAACATGAGTGATGGAGACTCCGAATTGCCCTGGGTGCAAACATCTGGGATTGGATTTCGAGTCCCCGAAATGTCTTACTTCTTACAATCAGCAGTTCTGCATTCCTAAGGCGGTCGCTACCCAGCTAGCCCGCGCAGGTGTGCCCTGGACCACGGCTCAGAGTTCGGTGGAGGTGAAGGAAGCTTCATGATGGCGATTCCTTTCTGCGGGACGACAAAGCAGACTTGGCCCCCAGGCCCCTCCTGTTCTTAGGCCGCCTGTCCTTTCCCTGTCCTGTTTGCCCAAATTTCGCCTAAAGTCCCAACACCCGTGGCCGTTCCCTGTGGCCGAGGGCTGCCGGCTGCGGCGAGCCAGGCTCTGACGCCGTCCGTGGTTCTCACTGTGTCTCTGCACAGCCAAGCCGTCGGCCCCTGGCCGGGTGCTCGCGTCGAGGAACACCAAGACGTCGGTGGTGGTGCAGTGGGACCCGCCGAAGCATGAGGAGGACCTGCTGGGCTACTACGTGGACTGCGCTGTGGCGGGGTCCAACGTCTGGGAGCCGTGTAACCACAAGCCCATCGGTTACAACAGGTGCCACCCTGGTCCTGGGAGCACTGCCAGGGAACGACGTGCCAGAGGCAGAGCCAGATAGGAACCCCCCAGCACACAGAGGGGCACTTGCCATGGTGGAAACACAGCCGGGAGGTCTCCTACACCAAAGCCTGTTGCACCCTCACACGCCGGGGGGTACGGGGTTTAAAGCCACTCTTGGCTGAGACCGTGGCTCTGCTGACATCATCAGCATTTAGGACGAATCTGAGTAGGAAAGTTAAAATTGCAACTACAGTGCGAGAAGTGTTTTATTTTCCCATATTGATTTGCGAACTTTAAAATTGCTTTGTTCACGTGACTGACAGCCGTCTTCTCTAGCCATGCAGTGAGATAGAGCCAGGGGGCCTGGCATCTCGGGCAGGGGAGACGTCGGCCTCTGCCCTGGAATGTGCACACCTTTCCTCCCGCATTGATTCATTCCTGCTTCATGCTGAGTGTGCAGGGTTGTCTGAGTTTATTCGGCTTTCTCCAGAACGCACTTCTTGGCAGGAAAAGAGAGGCGGCAGTCCAGTATGACTGAGCCATCTTTATTTTTAAAAAATAAATTGGGAAAAGCCATGGCTGGAGAAGAAGGGATGTGATTGGCCTGATGGTTGGATGTGACTCACAGTCCTTGGCCAGCAAATGCAGTGAGATCCCTCAGACCCAAAACTTAAAATATTCTAGTGCAGGAATCTTGCAAATGGTTAATAAATGTGGACCCTATAAGGTAAAGAGTAATTTACTGAGCAAATGAACAATTACTGAGCACTTCTACGGGGAAGGCAACCATGCTGTGCTCTCCACAGTTTTCCTGTTTAATGCTTTTAACTGCACAGGTAGCCACTGCCGTCCCGTTTTACAGACGTGATAACGGCTGATGGAGGTGCAGTGGCCTGACTGAGGGCCCCGAGTCTGCCTGGGGTCCCTGCAAAGTCTTACCCTGTAGCCCTGTAGGGTAACTGTTCCTCACTAACTTTCCCCACATGGGGTAGTTTTAGGTAAGCCATTGAATACTGTCTTAACAACAGACAACACCCAGAAGCGTGGGAATGAAAGTAGAGCAAGAAACTTTGGTACCGAGTCAGGGACTTGTGAGGGTCTCGCATCCCGAGAACCCAGACCTGTGTCTGCACAGCTCCTGGTACAAGTGGAGGTCGATGCCTCCTTTTGAACTTATTGATGTGAATTAATAGCTGGGGTTGAAGATGAAATGGATGTGTGTTAGGCACTTAGAAGGCACTCAGAGGGGTGGACTTCCTTTTGGTCCTAGAGAAAAACCTTTCAGCCTGTTCCAAATGATTTTCACTTCTGCTGTCGGAGAAAAAGAGGACCGAGCCTCGTGGTCAGGCCCCAGTTCTTTATTTCTCAGGTTTGTCGTGCACGGCTTAACGACCGGCGAGCAGTACGTCTTCCGAGTTAAAGCTGTTAACCCCGTGGGGACGAGTGAAAATTCGCAGGAGTCTGACATCATAAAAGTCCAGGCCGCCCTCAGTAAGTGATTCAGGGCCATTCTGCTCCAATTTCCGGTTCTCCAGTACCTTTTAATTTCTGCATGAATAAACATTTATGATGCCATTTGGAATATTAGTGGAGGAAAAAAGTGAATGTAAATTGTTGGACAGAGAACATGCAATTCTGGGGAGACCTCTCATTGGTTGGCTTCTCGTCTTGCAAATGCCAGTGTGAGAGAGGAATGACACTATGCTAATGAGATGCAAATTGGAAATAGACAATATCATTAGAGTTCACGTTAGTTTCCAGGTGCATGTACCCACACTAAACTCTGTGCTATAGGGTCTGAATTTCTCTTTTCAAAATATATGCTAGAACAGAAAAACATCAATGGCCTTTTTAGCTGTTCTCAGTTCAATGAACTTTAATAGGTCATTCCAGAGAATTTCAAATGTCAAATTCTACGTAACTCTGTGGCTTTGTCCATAAATAGTGATCTTGAAAAATTATTATTTTGATCAGACTTAATAATTCGGTCCTAAATTTCAGTGATGGGCCCTGGAAAGTTTGGTCTCTACAGCTCTGTGGTGTGTCATCATTGCTGTGTTACCACGAGGCTTACACATCTTCAGGGTCAGTTTGAAACATGGATGTCACATACTACACATCTTGAAGCATAGTATTATCTTTTTAGTTTTGAGAGAAAGGTTTTGCTCTCTATTTTTATCTTCAACTAGATTTTAAAATATTTCAGGAATTAAGATTTCTCTTCCTAACAACAAGTAGAATCATGTTACTGGAATTTCCAGGGAATGTCAAATCTGATAATACTTATGTGGGTAATATAGCAAAAAAAAGAAATCTTTGGTTTTAAGGTCATTATTCTAATCTATGAGATTTTTGCCAGGAAAGAGTGTCAGGCACCATCTGCCTGTTCAAACCATTCCTACTAAATGGACAGCAGTCATTCGCATTTTTATTCTTCAATAAGAGTAGTTCGTCCTCAGCTCCCTGGATCTCAGGTGACAGAGGATGGCTGGGTGCAGGTCACTGAAAAGCAGAGGCGTTCTTCTCAGTGTTTGGAAGGGGTGGTGCATTTCCGAATATGATCTCAGAGGCGTGTAGGGATTGACGCTCGCTGGCAGTGTGAAGGTTCTGTGGCCACGCAGGAGGCAGAGACGCGGGCCTGAGTGCCGCTCACATCCCTGGTGGTGGTGGTGCGGTTGGGTGGGACCCTTCCTCCTGAAGGTTGTCCTTAGATGAGGCGGGAGAATCCGTTACTTCGATGTCCCAGCCAGATTTAGGTAATTCATCCTGCTTGTGTTATCGACATACTGGGAGATGTATGTGTGTATTATTGGAAGGCGTATTAGAGGTAGCAGTAAACAGAAATGAGAGAGGATTTTTTCCACTTAACTCTTTAAAAGGAAAGCTAAGACCACGCAAGACGGTGAGAGGTGATGGGAAAGGGGAGCGGGGATGGGGACTCAGGCTGAGCCCCTCACCGTGCCTCTGCACGGTACTGCTGCCGGCTGGGTGCGGGCTCAGAGCCCTGAGCTAAGGTCCTGCTAACCGCTCGCTGTGTCTGCTTGCAGCCGTCCCGTCCCACCCTTACGGGATCACGCTTCTGAACTGTGACGGCCGCTCCATGACGCTCGGCTGGAAGGTGCCCAAGTACAGCGGCGGGTCGGCCATCCTTGGCTATTATGTAGACAAGCGTGAGGCTCAGCACGAAAACTGGCATGAAGTCAGTTCCTCACCCTTCAAAGAGCGGGTCCTGACGGTGGGTCTGAGCAGCCATCTGGCTGGGTGGTTTGGTTTCACATTTGGGGCAGAGCCCCTCGTTCAGCGCTTTAGGGTTGAAGTGTGTTAGATAGCCTGACACAAAAACAAGTGCATTTAGAAAATTTCACAGCATCCGGGATCAAGGATCCCCAGAACTGCATCCTAGGGAGCATCCGGGATCAAGGATCCCCAGAACTAGATCTTAGGGAGCATCCTGGATCATGGATCCCAGAACTGGATCCTAGGGAGCAGTTTTTCTGGAGAGGCAAAGAGGCAGCAGAGAGCCAAGGAAGTAGGGGTCTGACAGCCACTGCCCCTGTGGTGAAGCACCCGGGCCCCCTTTTTGTGAAGCTGTGAGCCCCTGGGGACAGGTGTTCTCACGCTTGAAGTGGAGCGTGGAGCCGGAGCAGAGCCCAAAAGAAGGCCTGTCTGCCTGTTTTCCGGAGGAAGGCCTGCACATCTGGCCTCTGAGTAAGTCACCTGCAGAAATACCCATCATGCCCGGGGAGAGTAGACAGAACACGGGCTGGAGTGAGGAAGTTGTGGTGGAGTCGAGTCCGTGTGCGAAAACCCTCAGCGGCCTGGCTCTCCTGGCCTCTCTGGGCCTTCGTGCCTCCGGGAGCGCAAGGATGAGACCTGCCCCAGGGTGTGCATGATAGGGGCCACCGAGGACAGGGTTCTGTAGCCCGTGGGCTGCTGCGGCAGGACACGTGTACTTTGCATAAGCCACACAGGTGGTAAAAACAGGGGTTTTTGGAGGGAGTCGCTGAGGTCTAGTCTGGATAGCAGACCCTGCTGTGTGGTGTAGGCTGTGTGGTGTAGGCTGTGTGGTGCAGGCTGTGTGATGGTGCGTCCGTGAGCTCTTTGCCCGCACGCCGCAGTCTGTGTGGCCAGCATTCGCGTGTGCTGTGACACTTCCCTGCTCGTTCACATCGTCTCCAAGTCCCAAGGCGTTTCAGGGCTCCCAAGAGGACGCCCTCTTAGTTCTGGATGCCAGCTCCTTCCCAGAGAAGGTGCATGCACTCCGTCACGCAGGGAATAAAGCCACTCAACTCCAAGTGCACCTGCATTTTCAGCACATTCCCTGGATACACATTAGTGCCTCAACCCTGCTGCCAGGTTGCTAGCAGGTCAGGTGAGAGGCCTCACCATGGCACGTGTGGTGGAAACCAGGTGTGTGGGCCCCCATGCAGCTGCCACACCTGGGGGACAAGCTGCCTGGCGTCACACAGCCAGGCGATGGCTGGCCTGGCCCATAACATCCATGGTGTGGCGTTCGCAGGGGAGGGGCAGGCCTGGCCAGCGGGCCCTCGTCTCTTCTCTGCCTCCTCCTTGTGGCTTTCATTTCTCAGCCTCAGTTTCCCTGTCTGCCTAAAGGGGGTTGTCACGTCATCCCTGCAGCAATGGTTTCAGGTGGTAGCTGCAGCCTGGAGGGGGTATGGGTGCTTCCCCAACAAGGTCAGGCCCCTGTGCCATCCCCAGGGTGCCCACAAACACTCCTCCTGCTGGATTGGAATGCAGCCTTTGTTTTGTGGATTAATGTGAACAAACTCTAAATAGGTGGACGGCTTGACAGACGGCTCATCATACGAATTCAGAATTGCTGCCGCCAACGTGGCCGGAATCGGGCAGCCCTCGGACCCCAGCCAGCTCTTCAAGTGTGAGGCCTGGACCATGGCCGAGCCTGGTAAGATGTCTCTGTCCTCCCACGTACTGGTGCAAGGGGTGGCCTGAGCTGTGGCTTCCCGTGGCACTGCCTGAGGTCTATACCCAGCCACCGCTGGCCTGCACAGCTAGGCGTTTGGTTACTTGGCATATATCACAGTGCGAGGCACTGGGCATGGTTGCAGTTAGAGTGGCGAGTCCCTGCCGCCTGGGCAGTGTGCCTGCAGGTGAGCAGGTGACAGGTGTAGGGAAGCTCGTGCTGAGTGTCAGGCAGGAGGGGAGCATGTAGCAGGGATGCCTCCTGGGCTGCACAGTGTGGGTGCACTTCCCACAGCTGACAGGGCAGCCAGACCTGGGGGGGCACGTGGCGCAGGCTGACGTCCCCCACGGGGTGGACGGAGGACAGGCCCCAGCAGGCAGGGGACAGATGCAGGCCCCCAGCCGAGACAGCGGGCTGTTGGGGCCCCATTACATGTTAGGTTCAGCTCTACCCCCAGGTGGCTTGGTGATCTTGGGGGCCCCTAGTTCTAAAATGTGGGGTTGTCACGCATCTGCATCTATTTTGGTTTCCACATTTTAAAACTGTTTTCACAAATTCTCAAGACCTCAGCCTTCCCTCATACTGAATCCATCGGGAGCATGAATGCATCCAGGGAACGAAACAAAACATACAACCCCAAACAGCAAACCTGAAGGTGAAGCCGCAGAGCCCGGAAATGCAGACTACTTCCCACCTTTTGTGGCCTCTCCTTTTCTATTTAATGAAATCATTTGTCGCCCCTACAAGAGCCAAAGGGAGCAGAAGCAGTTACAGGTCCCAGACCTTCCTGGGGCTCACCAGGCAGCGGTGCCGTGGCTCTGGAGGGATGCAGGGAGTTCGGCTGAGACGGGCCTGCACCTGCCCTTGGGTGCTTAGAGCTCGTGGGCCCGAGGAACGGCCGCGGGTCTGCAGGCAGGGTGGAGGGGGCGAGGCTGCACGCCAGGCGCGCCGGTCAGTGGGGCGGTCAGGCTCTGAGTGAGCGCTGCGTGACCGCCAGGCTCCCTGCGTGTGGGTGGGCGACACAAGTGCCATTTCCTGCTCACCTTTTCTCTCTGGGAGGCACTCCTGCAGGCCGTGGGCTCCCGGACTGGTCCAGTCACTGAGCTGTCCCCAGTGCTTCCTGCTGAGGCCACCCAGTGATGCGCCGCACTGCCCCCACGTGCTCCAGCAGGGAGGCGGCCCACAGGCAATGAGGAGCCGTCCAGTGTCCACGGGGTGGGCCCCTCCCTGGGAGGCTGTGCGCCCTCAGGTGCAGGGGGGCAGGTGCACACATCACATTTGACTTCTCAGGTCCTGCCTATGACCTGACGTTCTGCGAGGTCAGGAACACGTCGCTGGTCATGCTGTGGAAAGCCCCCATGTATTCCGGCAGCAGCCCCGTGTCTGGGTATTTTGTGGACTACAGGGAAGAAGATTCTGGGGAATGGATCACCATAAATGAGGCACCGACTGCAAACCGTTATTTAAAGGTGACCACATTCCTTCGTTTCTGTTTTCTGTGGGAGGACATAGCTCTGGTCCCCTGGCAGACCAGCCTGACGCCCCCTGTGGACCTGCCCAGGCATGTGGGCACCACGGCTGTGGCTGCGAAGGGGGCATCCGAGCAGGCCCCCACCTCTGCAGGCCCTCCTCTTACAGGAAGCTGCCGTGCTGGCTGTGGGGATGTCTAGGCATGTCTGGGTTTCTCTGCATGTTTCAGTGTGCGTTCACAGGCTGCATGCTTTCCCCACGATGCTTACTGCAATGTCTCTCCACTTCAAGCCCCACAGTCCAGCTACCTAATTCACGCAATGGCTAATACAGCCATTTCCATTTATTATTCCCCTGTGATGTTTTCTCCGTCTCGTCAAGGTCTGTGACCTGCACCAGGGTGGCACCTATGTCTTCAGGGTCCGCGCTGTAAACGCAAGCGGGGTGGGGAAGCCCTCGGACACATCTCAGCCGGTGCTCATGGAGGCCAGGCCAGGTAAGAGGGGCCTGCTTATGGTCAGACAGCACAGGACTCAGAGCGACTGGGATTTGGAGGGCGTGCATGCCCAGGTGGTGTGTGGATGGGAGGATGGACACCCTGTCCTGCTTTGAAAGCAGCTGACTTCGCAGGGCAGGCGGGCGTCACTAGTACCTGGCGCGGATGGGCACCATCCCTGGGGCAGCGAGGCAGCGAGGCAGCAGCCGGGGGTGATGGTGGCCTCCACGGCACTGCTGAGCTCTGCTCAGGAAGTGGTGAAGCCGTTGGTGGCTTTCCTGGTTGTGAGTAATGAAGGCCTTGTTGTGGTGAGGACACTGGCACGTCCTAGGGGCAGGAGGTGAAGCCCCAGTGTGCGTGGAGGAGTGTCTTCCTCCAAACCAAGGGCCGGGGCCACGACTCACACCACCTGTCTCCTGGGCTCTGGGGAGTGGCCTGTCCTGCCACCTGGCTTTCTGGCGAGGCTGCTGGTCTCCTCCCACCCCGATCCTCTGGGGTGGATGCTAGCTGGACTGCGGTGGGCAGGTGTCCACTTGCCAAAAGTAATAAATAAATAAGCCCCCAGCTTCTGTCCCCAAAGGGAAACATGGGGAAAAGGATCTGGGGTATAGATGGGCCATGTGCTTAGGTGGTCCCTGGGGGCAGCTGGGTTCCATTGTGGGGTGGGGTGGGGGGTTTCTGTGGCCCATGGGCCGCTGCACTGGGAGTAGGAAAGGAACATTGGTTATGTGTTGACAAGACCCCGAGGCTCTCTGTGCCCCTGGGGGGCTGTCCCGATCCTCCTCCACATCGACGTCGGGTAAAAATGATGATTTGATGTAAAACAAGCTCTCTGCCTAGGCCACCTGTCCCCACCGCCCCCACCCCAGAAAGAGAATCCAGAGCATGCATGTTCCCGGGATGCTCATGTGTGTCCTTGCTGCGCAGGCACGAAGGAGGTTAGCGCTGGGGTGGACGAACAGGGTAACATCTACCTGGGCTTCGAGTGCCAGGAAATGACGGATGCCTCTCACTTCACCTGGTGCAAATCCTACGAGGACATTGCCGATGACGGGAGGTTCCGCGTGGAAACTGCGGGGGACCAGTAAGTCAGGGTGAGGCCGGTGCCGGGCCTAGAGGCTCCCCCAGATGCTGGCCGGTGACATGCTCCCCCTCCCCTTCTAGCTCGAAGCTGGTCCTCAAGAATCCAGGGAAGGAGGATGTGGGCACCTACTCTGTGTCCGTGAGCGACACGGACGGCGTGTCTTCCAGCTTCGTCCTGGATGCAGAAGGTGACGTCTGCATGGCCCAGGCCTGCTTTTCCTGGCTTTGGGCACTTTGACGGATTGACACTAATGGAGAGAAGACTTAGCTGCTTAGAGAAAGGGCGTGTGCTCGGGGAGGCCCGGGTTGGGGGGTCCTGGTATAAAAAGAGATGACTCAAGAAATTGAGCTCTAGGATTAGTGCTTTATCCGCCCAGAAGTCACTGGTCTGGGAATGTTGCTTATGCAACCTGCACCTGTGCTTCTGACGGGTTTTACGTCCATTTCCGTGTGGCAGGCAGGAAGCAGCGTGTCGGCAAATGCTCCCTAAGCCTAGAGGGACACCCAGAGGGAAGGCCCCTCTCTTGTCTCCCGCAGTTAATGACTGTGATGGTGCAAGAAAACATATATATTTTTTCTATGTATGTGAAATAATATTTAATTGCCGAAGTCAGACCTCTTGCTCTCTTCAAGTGGAAGGCAGCAGGCAGGAGGGAGGGGAGGACTGTGTTTCAGACTGGGCGACAGCGGTGGTTCCTCTGTGTTGGGGTCCCCGGCCTGCATTCACTGAGTAGGGAGCGGGTCTCAAGAGGCGAGTTCCTCAGCTGCCTGGGACCACCTTTCCTTGTGTCCGACCCTCATCCCCCCACCCGTCAGGGGCAGCCTTAGGTTTAAAGTGGGTCCACCATGGTGTGCAGTGACCCGCGTGGCACTGGGCTGCTTTATTGGGGTTTGGGGGCCACTGGGTGTGAGCCTGCTGTTGGGATGTAGGGTCCTGGCCGCTGTAAGCCTGGCAAATGCACCCCTTTGTTCACGAAGTGCCATGTGGTTTGGGGCGACCGGTTGGAGAGGCCCAGCCAGGAGGAGGCACGTGCCTGGGGGACAGGCGGCTTTAGGAACTTCTGGCATCGGAGGCCGGGCTCAGAGGCTGGGATAGCGTGGGGGGCCCCATGCAGCAGCAGACAGTGTTGGGTCCCGCTGGCCTCTCCGGGGTCCTCGGTGTGCGAGCTGGCGGCGGAAAGAGGCGCTTCCAAGGCCACTCACGGACACTTCCGGCTGCCCTTCCTGACCCTCACCTGGGGGCTGCAGTCTTCTCCTCATGAGTTCTGAAAGCCGTGTACTCCTCGGCACCATTTTAAACTTTTCAGGTGACACTTGACCTTAATTTTAAATAGTTGCAAAGGATGAAATTTCAAGCATATTTTTTATTGTATACGGACTTTAAATGTATCTTAGACAAAACCTTGGCACGGCGCCACAGGGTCAGCTACCCTGATTTACAGAAATTCCTGCCGTGAGGTGGAGCCGGGAGTGCCCAGCCCATCATCCGACCTGTTCACCTCCGGCCAGAAGTCTGACTTCATACGTACCTTCCTGAGCACGGTCTCACTTGTAGGTTCTGATTCTGAGAAGGAAAGAGGGAAGAACTGAAGAAGGGCCTTAGAACCTTCTCAGCTTGCTGTTGAGGCTGGTCAGGATGTGTCGCTCCTCTGTCTTTTGCTTTTGGTTTTGACCGCTGGTAAAACCCTCGGAGCAGCCCCGGGCAGCGGGAGGAAGATCACAGCCCCCCGGCACAGTCTCGGCCAGACCAGCTCTGCATGGAGCTCATGTGGAGTGAGAGGACCAGCACAGGGCCTCTGAGGCCCCCACTGCATCCCGGGAGCTGACCTGCCCACCCCAGCCCCGCCCCGACCGCTGAGTGACAGGGAAGTTTAGGGGGTGAGGGTCTCAGGTCCGGGGAGCACTGCTCTGCGATGACCGCGTGCAGAGGCTGCCCATCCCGTAGGTGCTTTCCTTCACATCCTCACATTAGATCTTGGTGATGTCAGGTCTCTGCTCTTGTTTGGCTTTACAGCTGTTTACAAACTTCTGAATGTAGAGGTCAAAATGAGTGATTATGTTTTTTTTCATTGTAGAGCTTGAACGCTTGATGGCGCTGAGCAACGAAATAAAAAATCCCAGTAAGTAACCTTGGAACCCTGAAAGCCCGATTGCTGGCCGGCTAGGGCCATGTTCGTAATGTGTGGGGCTCCCCAAGGGCCCTGGGGGAGAATGGCCTCATTTCACGCTCCCAGCCTGCTGGACCGTCACCTGTTTGTTCAAAACAAACATCAGCTTATATTGTAATGGGGAGTTTTCTTTGCACAGAGGGTGTTTTGAGTTTGGGGTCTAGCATAGCTGTTCCTAATCCACGTGAGATGTCCACCAGATGGAAGCTGCAGCCTGGAATCGCAAAACTGGCTGCAGAAGGAATATCTACACCGGCAGCCCCCGGATGCATCTGGGAGCTGGGCTGGCCGGGCACCCGCCCAGGGCTCCCTTGATGTGCAGCTTTACGTGCAGCCACAGGCTGACGAGGGCTTTATTTTCCGTGTTCGGTTTTCATGGTCTGATTTACTACTCTGGGGTTTCACTTTCTCAAAACATTTAATAAGTAGGCTTGATGTTTTCCTGCATCCGTGCTGTTCTTTCTTACAGAGACTTGTGCATTATTGACTTTTGATTTCTTTCTTCCTATAGCGGTTCCTCTGAAATCAGAATTAGCTTATGAGATCTTTGATAAGGGCCAGGTGCGCTTCTGGCTCCAGGCTGAGCCATTGTCAGCAAGCGCCAGCTACCGGTTTATCATTAATGACCGGGAGGTCTCGGATGGCGAGGTGAGTGTGCGCGCGAGCAGCCGCTGGCTTTGGGGGGTCAGGCGGGTCAGCTACGTGGAGTCGGTGTCTTGCGTTTGTTTTCATCCTTTCTGAGCTGTAGGAATCGGGTGTCGGGGGTTGAAAAGATGAACAAGAGCTGGCTGATCCTTGCTGTGTTCAGAGATGTGGTCTGGGTGAGATAAGAGACCAGGAGTCCTTTAAGTCCAAACCTGTTGAAATTAAAAAACGACGCACTGTGTTTCAGAGATGCTCAGTTTGGTTTTATGAAAAGGTTCAGGTTTCATGGGGGGGTGGATCCTGATGGATCAGTTTGTTTACCTTTGGCAGTAGTCCTGAAGGTGTGTGATTTTGCTCTGTTGCCCACAGAGCTCCCCATGGAAGGTGTCTCCTGGGCAGCGTTTCTGCACCTTCTCCGACCATTCAGGTGCTCTCTTGGTGCGGCACCCATGGGCAAAGAGCAGGAGAGCGGTCAGAAATGCAGAGTGCCACACACACACCCTGCTCTCCTGCTTTTCACTGTGGGAATCTGACAGTCACCACAGGTGCTCTTTGTGGGACACGGCTTGCATCTCCACGTATTTCCTCTTGTCTGATCGTAGCACACCTGGAGACCCAGGCGGAGCACGGGGCACTGGGTGGGGCTGTTATTGTTCAGTGGAGAGTTCAGGGGGTCTCGCAGATCCCGCTGTTTGTACCCTCTCTGCTGTCCTTCCCTCGGTACCTGCTGTGCAGTGCCCCTGGTATAGTCCGCTCTCCTCCGTGGTCCTCGATGCCTCCTGCATTAGCCCTGTACTAACGCACAGCCTGGGGTGCAGGAATCCCTCACGCCCTGCAGGCAGCCCACTTGGTATTCCTGTGAGCTGGACTTCTCATCCTGAGCCCAGCCTTTGCGTCTCTCGGGTACTTAGCAAAGCTGAGCTGGTTAGATGAACATCGACTGGGCAGAAAGCATACATGGACAAAGATTCACATGATCTTTCTCATTCAGTCAGTCTTTGCCGTGAGAATAATGACATACTCTAAGAATCCTAGAAGCGGGAGAGTTGGCGAATACGTAGAAAGCATGTGTTTTCTTCCTGGCTGCGAAAAAGCCGACAGTGTGGTCACTGGTGGTGGGCGCGCCCCGTGTGAGCAGGGTAAATGGAGAAGTTTTCTCTGAGCAGAGATCGTGCTATGAAATGAAACACAATTTAGTGTAATTTCACTTCATTTGCAGAACATCTTTTGATTAACGCTTCCTCCCTGCTGTCTAGAGCCTGCTTTAAAGCCGGATGCCACTGCCCCATGGCTCCTCTAGTGGAATGTGGCTGTGCTATCTTGCTTCTTCAGTTAGCAGTCCCCAGGTGACTTCCACCCGAGGATGGACACTGTTTCGTGGAAGTCACATAAAAGCCTGTATTTGTGACCCGCATAAAATCATTGAACTTCATCTGGCTGCATAATGGCGATGGGAATGAGCCTAATTAATTTCCAAAGCCTGCCCAGATCCTGCGGTGCAAGGGCCGAGAAACCGAAAAGGGCTGCTGCACGGCTGGGAACTGGTTGGGGAGAGCTGCCTTCCTGCCTCTCGGGCCCAATTAGAGTGGCTTCCTGCGGCTTCCTACCGCAGGTGCTGGGCGTGAGCGGATGCGCATGTGAGTGAGGACCGAGCACCTGTCTGGTCATCTTGAATTTGCTGTCCCTGCTCTGCTCAAAAGGAAACACTCAGCGCGCAGAGGGACTCCAGGGGCGTGGCGAGGGGCCGTCCGGGGCAGCTGCCATGCACTGGCCCCTGCTCCTCGCCCTCCATGACCCAGTACTCGGGTCTCCGGGGGTGGAGACAGCGTCCATGCTTGTCATCAATCCTATTTCTTAAAATGACCTCGCTCTCAAAAAGTGACCTGAGGTCATGCTTTCTCATTCACTTCTATCTTTTTATATATACCAATGTCCTGTTCCCATTTCCCACTTAGGAAAAAATCTAAATGATCTTATACAAGTACGTAGTGTGTGCTTTACATGTTTGAAGTAATGCTGGAATTTCTCATTATGAAGGAGGAAAAGTCAAGGCTTTGTGGGGTAGAGGGTGGGGGTGGGCTTCATTCACTTAAAACCTTAAGGCCACATCAGACTAAGCAGAGCCCCCAGCATGGTGGTTGATCCTGGGAATGTGGAGAGCCACCTTCTTTTCCAGTGCCTGGTGGCATAAACTCTGCCAGTCATTTCGGTTGTCTCCACAGCTAACCAACAGCAGACAGAGAGTGAGACGTGACCTTTTCCCTGGGGTGGTCATGGAGGCGAAGGAACAAACTTCAGTTAGTGGTACGGAAAAGAGCTCAGACGAGGGGCGTCAGAGCTGCGCAGCCAGCACGTCTGAATTAGGTGGGAGCAGAGATTCACAAGGCCAGGGCGCAGAGCAGGGGTCTTAAGAGCAGCAGAGTTGAGCCTGAGGCAGGAAGAATCTGGATGGGCAGGAGGGCAGCCTGCCTCGGGCATGGGCGGGCGGGAGGCCAGGGGGCAGTTCTGGTGGTCTGGGAATCGTGGCTGGTGAAGCAGAAGCGGCCATGAGATAGAGGCCTTCACTGTCAGGCCGAAGAACTTGCCCCAGGCATCCATTTACCCTGCTCACACGGGGCGCGCCCACCACCAGTGACCACACTGTCGGCTTTTTCGCAGCCAGGAAGAAAACACATGCTTTCTACGTATTCGCCAACTCTCCCGCTTCTAGGATTCTTAGAGTATGTCATTATTCTCACGGCAAAGACTGACTGAATGAGAAAGAAGCTAGAGGCTGATGGAATTTGTATTTTGCTCAACTCCCTTGCGATGCTGGCGCTGGAAATACGAAAACATAAGCAGCCTTCCAGAGGGAAGAGTGTGTCTAATGTGGCCATGATGGGCCAGGCTGCACACTGCTTTTCTGGCTGCACCTGCAGGCCTTCTGTTTTTACTACAGCTAGAAATTCTTTCTCGTATTTGAAGGTGAGGTTTACAGGAGTGTGGTTTTTAAAGGGTTGACGGAGTCCTCGTGGGAATTCGGCTTTCTTGCTGCTGAGCTCAGATTGATTTGGCGCCTGATCCGCTTCCGTTGTTCCTAAAGTGCCCGTGGGGTGAGGGCTTGGGAATGAGTGGGAGCGGAGGGGCTGTGACTGTAAGGGCCTGAAGTGCCCCCTTGCCGACCTGTGGCAGCCGTTGGCCCTGGCCCTGCATCTCCGGGTCTGGCGAGCGCGTGGTTGTGCCAGCTCCACCGGGGTTCGTAGGGCGCACGGCCCCTCCTCCCGTGACAAGCTATCTTGCATCAGGTGCTCGACCTCTGGGCTTGCAGTTCGTGCTCAGCCTCTGCTGTATGTTGCTCCTACGCAGAACAAGGGCTCCGTCCCCGAATGAACGGCCGTGTTCAGTTTCACCAGGAGGTTTAGTGGATAAATTCCATTCTGTGTTTTTTGCGCATGTCACAGTCCCTTAGGATATAATGGTTGATCCAACTATCAAGTGTCAGAGATAAAACTGGAAGATGGAGTTTCACTGTGGAATTCTCTCCCCCTTCTTGCTCCCAGAAACACAGAATTAAATGCGACAGATCAACGGGCCTTATTGAGATGGTGATGGATCGTTTCACTATTGAAAACGAAGGCACGTACACGGTGCAGATTAATGACGGAAAAGCCAAAAACCAGTCTTCCCTGGTACTCATCGGCGATGGTATGCGATCGCGAATGCCATCACGTGCTCACAAAACAAAATTCAAGGAAAACCCTTGTGGCCAGACAGAAGCAAACATATGTCATTTCTTTTTTCTCCTTAAATATTGAATTTAGCGTTCAAGGCTATCCTGGATAAGGCTGAATTTCAAAGAAAAGAGTTTCTCAGAAAGCAAGGTAGGTACTGACTTAGTCCCCACCAGTGGAGTAGAACACACTTAGGATTCGGGTGTCTGTTCACAGTGCTTCCCGCACAAGGCCAGATGACTCGATGCCTATTCCAAGTTATCAGGAAGTTGGACCACTTATCTGTAGCAATGTGGGCACTTTTCTGTTCTTTGCCCTTTACAGCTTTGATGGAGTCCAGCGATTCTGACACAAAAAAAGAAGAGAATGGGGGTGGGTGGGTTGAGGGCATCCTTGGGCTCTGAAATGTAGGGAGGGTCATAGAAGCGACTCCGAATGCCAGGAACTTGTTGCTTTACCTAAAATTGTGTGAACTTTTAAACTATCAAATGTTTTAAGTATTCAAGTACAAATAACATATACTTAAAATATGTTGTTTTAAAAAATGCATATTAACTAGGTACAAACGCAAATGGATAAATTTTAGAATCTGAAACATAACCCAAAGGTTTATTTAAAGAATATATTTTACATGGGATTTCTGTGTCCCTCGGAAAAAATGAGAATATGGGTCATAAAATATAAAATCAACATATTCTTTCTTTTTGGTAGTCAGAAAATTTTTTTTGCTCATTTCTACATTACGAATTTTTTTTAACCAACTTCACAGAATGTATTTATGTGAAAGAAATCTATAAATACTTTCTAAATCTGCTCTGTGTTTTCCTATCGGTGGGCTAATGTGTAATTAGTACATGATTTACTTCTCCATTTATTTTTAAATGAAATGACGTTTATGGAAAAATATAGAAATCCATCTTTGACTTCTGATGCTGAATACATAAAATACGCATTTACAAAACTGCTAGGTCAGGCTGTCTTTTCTGGTCTTACCTCTATTCTCCCATTTTAAAGGTTTTGTGCACTCTGCCTTTGGGTATTATTCAGTTAGACACGTGTGTGGGGAAGAAGTATGGTTTCCGTATTCTTTTTCCTAAAGAGCAACGGGTATCAGGTGTCAGCAGGGAGAGGCCAGCAGAATGTTCCCACTTGGACATACAGGTCTCCGCGGAGTTTCAGAGCCCTGAAAACGGGTTATCTGGGCTTCATACCAGGCCGTTGCTTTTTTCTCCCACTAAAAAATGCATCCACTTATATAAGTATACACAGATAGACAGACAGACAGACATATACACGTGTGTAAGTGTGTGTGTTTCTGCTGCTTTTTTCCTTATTAAACTTTCCTCCCCTGTCTTCCCCCCCAGGCCCTCATTTTGCAGAGTACCTGCGCTGGGACGTCACAGAGGAGTGTGACGTGCGGCTCATGTGTAAGGTGAGAGGTCAGAGCGGGAGGCCTGCGCCCGTGCCCGTCAGGCCCGCCGGGGAGGCGGGTCAGCCATGCGGTGACGGGCAGGCAGGCAGTGCACTGCGGGGGTCTCGTGTGCAGTCCAGGACTTCTGTGTTTGTCGTCGTTCTTCATGAAAAGACGGCAGCGTGGGGGCGCACGGGGCGGCTTGGGCAGGGGTTAAAGAGGTTTACGTGAGAGCTTCCTAGGGAGGTTATGAGCAAGTGTCCTGTGATTTGTTTATCTGGTAATTTCCATGCTCTTCATAGGATTTCTGAGAAGTATAAGGTATGCCTGGGGAATAAGATGCTTCTTAGATTTTATTTTAATAATTCAGTAATAAAATAAAGCCTTAGTTACTACTAGACAGGAATATCTGTATCTGGGGAACACAGGTTAGCTTAGCGATGGGCCCCAGGGAAGAGGCATGTTTCCCCAGGCTACCTGTGGGCTAGTGAGGGGGAGAAAAGTAAACATAATTTCAACCAGGGATGAGTCCTGAGCCGTGCTGGAGCCGATGCAGATGGCATGGGGCCTGGAGGTTGGGAGGATGCACTGGGAGGGCTACAGGCACCAGCAGGGAGGCTAAGCGGCGGCGTCACCGTGGGCGGCAGTGACTGGGTTTTTAGGGTGCAAATTCCAAGGCTGGTTGCTGGAAGACAGCAGGGCAGCAGCTAGGAAGTTAGCAGAGTCAACACAGGGACTGAAAGCGGGGCCCCAACAGGTGTGCACCTGTGCTCATGGCAGCTGCACACACACACCGCCTGGAGGCGGGAGCAGCCCCGGTGTCTCGGGGCCGTGAGTGGCAGCCCAGCTTCCTGAACAGACAGCAGGGCCCAGGGAGGTACCAGTCAAGGCACAAGCTTCCGGGAGATGCGAGTCCAGGGAAGCTTATGCAGCGTGGTGACTGCGGTCACGGCTGCCCTGTGTGCCGGAAGCTGCTGAGAGAGCAGAATTGTGTTCCTGCCACACACACACACGCCAGGTACACACACATGCCAGGTGCTCCCATGAGGGGGCGGAGGTGATGGCTCACCTGACTGTGGTCACTTCACAACATGCACCTGTATCAGAATCTTCTCAAATGATTGTCATGGGCAAAAAGGAACGTATCTTCACATGTTTACATGTGAGCCCTGGCAAAAATCAGTTGTTTCAGATAATCAGCAATCTGGACACCAGATATGCCATGTGGCTTTTTATAGGGGGCTTCCTCCTTTTTCTGACCATACGGTATTAAGTACAGACTTAAAACGGCGGTGGGAAAAAGAAGGAATTCTACTTCCCCACATGCTCTGATAACATCTTAGCAATATATACCGTTCTATAAATATTTGATAGTATTTTAAGTTCCCAACCAAGGTGATTCATAAATCTTTCAGCACAGTTATTGGAGAAACTAAATATATATCACTTGAGGTTTGAGTATTTTGCAATTTAATTTGCATGCTCGTATCCCTGTCAATCCTATGATTCCATGAACCTTGGGTCTACATAGTTTTTACCTTAATTTACATAATAATATCATTTGAAACATCAAACTGCCAGAAAGGCAGCCACTAAACACTTCTGTAGACCTCTAAGAATATTTTACATTATTTATAAACTTAAAACCCATCACCTACAACTTGTCTTTATTACTGGCACTTCATACACACAATATGAATTAGATCCTTATGCTGTCTAATTTCATGGGCTAGAACAATGAGGGACCATTTGCCCTTTGTGGGCAACTGGGAAGGCCTCTTGGTTTTAGAAGCTGGGATTGAGAAATGTATTTGCCTTGATTACCACTGACAGCTTTTCCATGAGCCTCTGTCTGATACTGTCTATAATAAAAACTGATATTTAAAAAAAAAGTTGTGATTTTAGAATCTGAATGGACTTTTTTCTTAGGAGCCTGAGCGATTCACATACTCAGCCTAAGGTTTCTGTCTCATAGGTTGCAAACACCAAGAAGGAAACAGTTTTCAAATGGCTCAAGGATGATGTTCTGTATGAAACTGAGAAGATGCCTGACCTGGAGAGGGGGATCTGCGAGCTGCTCATACCGAAGGTACCGCACACGGTAGCGAAGCAAAGCCGGGTGTGTCAGGTAACTCCTGCTGCAAGGCTGCAGGAGAGCAGAGTAGAGGCTGGAGTGGTGGCAGCACTGAGGACAGAGGGACAGAGGACTGCTATGTGGGTAGAGAGGCCCAGAGCACAGCTGTGTGGGTAATTGTGATTTTAGAATCTGAACGGACTTTCCCATCCTGCATCATCTCCCAATCGCACCCTGAACTTCCACGGCTTGCAAAGAATGATCTATGAGCATTGCCTGCGATCTGTGACACTCCGGTAATGCCCTGGGCACGGCTCTGGTTTTACGCAGATGGTTGTGTGCTTCCCTTGTAGTTGTCCAAGAAGGACTGCGGCGAATATAAGGCGACGCTGAAAGACGACCGAGGCCATGATGTGTCTGTCCTGGAGGTTGCTGGCAAAGGTAAAATAACACCTGCTTTGTTCTATGGAAAAGAAATCCACGGGGCTCATGGGATGAGGTGTGTTACGGAGGCACATTCACCTGTCCCCTCAGACGCAGGTGCCGGAGTCCACGCTACACGGTAACACCAAACGGGAAGGTGGACTGGCACTGCGGTTGCACTCACAGCTGGTTCCATGTTTTAGAAGAACGTATATTACTTTGGGTTTGTGTGAAATGTCGTTTTAGCTCCTCACCGTGAGCCAAGTTCTATCCCATTGCTGATGTAGTTAAAATGATTGAAACAGTGATGAAGTGATTCAATTAAATGTGTAGTTGGATTTATGTGGAGTAAAGCGTTCTTGTTCCTTGTTTAAGAAGTGCCTAGGTTAGAAGGATTTATTACACACATAAGCCCTTTATGGATAAATACTGCCGTTTTAGTGTTCCATTTTTCAAATGAACATCACGATTTCCTGTACCAATTTAATTAAACATGAAAATGCTGCATTTTGATAAAATTATATGTTGTAATGGTACATTTCCCTTCTCTCTTACAGTGTATGATGACATGGTCCTGGCAATGAGTAGAGTCTGTGGTGAGTAAATGCCTTCTAATTTCTTATAAGTTACTTTGGGTGCTAAAATCACTATTCCCTGAGGTGGGTGGGCCCCACAGCAGAGGGGCAGCTGCAGAGGACCTGTGTTAGGTGGCAGGGCAGTTACCTGACCGCTTCGGCGACCAGTCAGCAATCCCGTGAAAACACCCGCTGCCCACCAGCTTGGCCTTCCTGATTGGCCACTCTCTGCCTTAGGCACATCTGGGTGACGCCCCTGCCCGTCATTTTGCCGTCAGCATCTCTCTTACAAAGGTCGAATAGCAATGGTGACGATAAACCTCTGGCTTTGTGTCATCTGTATTAAACCCCTTCTTTAGCTTTGCACATGAACTCTTGCCCTCCATTTCCCGTGGTGGAAACAGTGAGAATGGAGACATTGATTATTGATTCATAGCATAAGTGCCCGTGGGGTGAGGGCTTGGGAATGAGTGGGAGCGGAGGGGCTGTGACTGTAAGGGCCTGAAGTGCCCCCTTGCCGACCTGTGGCAGCCGTTGGCCCTGGCCCTGCATCTCCGGGTCTGGCGAGCGCGTGGTTGTGCCAGCTCCACCGGGGTTCGTAGGGCGCACGGCCCCTCCTCCCGTGACAAGCTATCTTGCATCAGGTGCTCGGCCTCTGGGCTTGCAGTTCGTGCTCAGCCTCTGCTGTATGTTGCTCCTACGCAGAACAAGGGCTCCGTCCCCGAATGAACGGCCGTGTTCAGTTTCACCAGGAGGTTTAGTGGATAAATTCCATTCTGTGTTTTTTGCGCATGTCACAGTCCCTTAGGATATAATGGTTGATCCAACTATCAAGTGTCAGAGATAAAACTGGAAGATGGAGTTTCACTGTGGAATTCTCTCCCCCTTCTTGCTCCCAGAAACACAGAATTAAATGCGACAGATCAACGGGCCTTATTGAGATGGTGATGGATCGTTTCACTATTGAAAACGAAGGCACGTACACGGTGCAGATTAATGACGGAAAAGCCAAAAACCAGTCTTCCCTGGTACTCATCGGCGATGGTATGCGATCGCGAATGCCATCACGTGCTCACAAAACAAAATTCAAGGAAAACCCTTGTGGCCAGACAGAAGCAAACATATGTCATTTCTTTTTTCTCCTTAAATATTGAATTTAGCGTTCAAGGCTATCCTGGATAAGGCTGAATTTCAAAGAAAAGAGTTTCTCAGAAAGCAAGGTAGGTACTGACTTAGTCCCCACCAGTGGAGTAGAACACACTTAGGATTCGGGTGTCTGTTCACAGTGCTTCCCGCACAAGGCCAGATGACTCGATGCCTATTCCAAGTTATCAGGAAGTTGGACCACTTATCTGTAGCAATGTGGGCACTTTTCTGTTCTTTGCCCTTTACAGCTTTGATGGAGTCCAGCGATTCTGACACAAAAAAAGAAGAGAATGGGGGTGGGTGGGTTGAGGGCATCCTTGGGCTCTGAAATGTAGGGAGGGTCATAGAAGCGACTCCGAATGCCAGGAACTTGTTGCTTTACCTAAAATTGTGTGAACTTTTAAACTATCAAATGTTTTAAGTATTCAAGTACAAATAACATATACTTAAAATATGTTGTTTTAAAAAATGCATATTAACTAGGTACAAACGCAAATGGATAAATTTTAGAATCTGAAACATAACCCAAAGGTTTATTTAAAGAATATATTTTACATGGGATTTCTGTGTCCCTCGGAAAAAATGAGAATATGGGTCATAAAATATAAAATCAACATATTCTTTCTTTTTGGTAGTCAGAAAATTTTTTTTGCTCATTTCTACATTACGAATTTTTTTTAACCAACTTCACAGAATGTATTTATGTGAAAGAAATCTATAAATACTTTCTAAATCTGCTCTGTGTTTTCCTATCGGTGGGCTAATGTGTAATTAGTACATGATTTACTTCTCCATTTATTTTTAAATGAAATGACGTTTATGGAAAAATATAGAAATCCATCTTTGACTTCTGATGCTGAATACATAAAATACGCATTTACAAAACTGCTAGGTCAGGCTGTCTTTTCTGGTCTTACCTCTATTCTCCCATTTTAAAGGTTTTGTGCACTCTGCCTTTGGGTATTATTCAGTTAGACACGTGTGTGGGGAAGAAGTATGGTTTCCGTATTCTTTTTCCTAAAGAGCAACGGGTATCAGGTGTCAGCAGGGAGAGGCCAGCAGAATGTTCCCACTTGGACATACAGGTCTCCGCGGAGTTTCAGAGCCCTGAAAACGGGTTATCTGGGCTTCATACCAGGCCGTTGCTTTTTTCTCCCACTAAAAAATGCATCCACTTATATAAGTATACACAGATAGACAGACAGACAGACATATACACGTGTGTAAGTGTGTGTGTTTCTGCTGCTTTTTTCCTTATTAAACTTTCCTCCCCTGTCTTCCCCCCCAGGCCCTCATTTTGCAGAGTACCTGCGCTGGGACGTCACAGAGGAGTGTGACGTGCGGCTCATGTGTAAGGTGAGAGGTCAGAGCGGGAGGCCTGCGCCCGTGCCCGTCAGGCCCGCCGGGGAGGCGGGTCAGCCATGCGGTGACGGGCAGGCAGGCAGTGCACTGCGGGGGTCTCGTGTGCAGTCCAGGACTTCTGTGTTTGTCGTCGTTCTTCATGAAAAGACGGCAGCGTGGGGGCGCACGGGGCGGCTTGGGCAGGGGTTAAAGAGGTTTACGTGAGAGCTTCCTAGGGAGGTTATGAGCAAGTGTCCTGTGATTTGTTTATCTGGTAATTTCCATGCTCTTCATAGGATTTCTGAGAAGTATAAGGTATGCCTGGGGAATAAGATGCTTCTTAGATTTTATTTTAATAATTCAGTAATAAAATAAAGCCTTAGTTACTACTAGACAGGAATATCTGTATCTGGGGAACACAGGTTAGCTTAGCGATGGGCCCCAGGGAAGAGGCATGTTTCCCCAGGCTACCTGTGGGCTAGTGAGGGGGAGAAAAGTAAACATAATTTCAACCAGGGATGAGTCCTGAGCCGTGCTGGAGCCGATGCAGATGGCATGGGGCCTGGAGGTTGGGAGGATGCACTGGGAGGGCTACAGGCACCAGCAGGGAGGCTAAGCGGCGGCGTCACCGTGGGCGGCAGTGACTGGGTTTTTAGGGTGCAAATTCCAAGGCTGGTTGCTGGAAGACAGCAGGGCAGCAGCTAGGAAGTTAGCAGAGTCAACACAGGGACTGAAAGCGGGGCCCCAACAGGTGTGCACCTGTGCTCATGGCAGCTGCACACACACACCGCCTGGAGGCGGGAGCAGCCCCGGTGTCTCGGGGCCGTGAGTGGCAGCCCAGCTTCCTGAACAGACAGCAGGGCCCAGGGAGGTACCAGTCAAGGCACAAGCTTCCGGGAGATGCGAGTCCAGGGAAGCTTATGCAGCGTGGTGACTGCGGTCACGGCTGCCCTGTGTGCCGGAAGCTGCTGAGAGAGCAGAATTGTGTTCCTGCCACACACACACACGCCAGGTACACACACATGCCAGGTGCTCCCATGAGGGGGCGGAGGTGATGGCTCACCTGACTGTGGTCACTTCACAACATGCACCTGTATCAGAATCTTCTCAAATGATTGTCATGGGCAAAAAGGAACGTATCTTCACATGTTTACATGTGAGCCCTGGCAAAAATCAGTTGTTTCAGATAATCAGCAATCTGGACACCAGATATGCCATGTGGCTTTTTATAGGGGGCTTCCTCCTTTTTCTGACCATACGGTATTAAGTACAGACTTAAAACGGCGGTGGGAAAAAGAAGGAATTCTACTTCCCCACATGCTCTGATAACATCTTAGCAATATATACCGTTCTATAAATATTTGATAGTATTTTAAGTTCCCAACCAAGGTGATTCATAAATCTTTCAGCACAGTTATTGGAGAAACTAAATATATATCACTTGAGGTTTGAGTATTTTGCAATTTAATTTGCATGCTCGTATCCCTGTCAATCCTATGATTCCATGAACCTTGGGTCTACATAGTTTTTACCTTAATTTACATAATAATATCATTTGAAACATCAAACTGCCAGAAAGGCAGCCACTAAACACTTCTGTAGACCTCTAAGAATATTTTACATTATTTATAAACTTAAAACCCATCACCTACAACTTGTCTTTATTACTGGCACTTCATACACACAATATGAATTAGATCCTTATGCTGTCTAATTTCATGGGCTAGAACAATGAGGGACCATTTGCCCTTTGTGGGCAACTGGGAAGGCCTCTTGGTTTTAGAAGCTGGGATTGAGAAATGTATTTGCCTTGATTACCACTGACAGCTTTTCCATGAGCCTCTGTCTGATACTGTCTATAATAAAAACTGATATTTAAAAAAAAAGTTGTGATTTTAGAATCTGAATGGACTTTTTTCTTAGGAGCCTGAGCGATTCACATACTCAGCCTAAGGTTTCTGTCTCATAGGTTGCAAACACCAAGAAGGAAACAGTTTTCAAATGGCTCAAGGATGATGTTCTGTATGAAACTGAGAAGATGCCTGACCTGGAGAGGGGGATCTGCGAGCTGCTCATACCGAAGGTACCGCACACGGTAGCGAAGCAAAGCCGGGTGTGTCAGGTAACTCCTGCTGCAAGGCTGCAGGAGAGCAGAGTAGAGGCTGGAGTGGTGGCAGCACTGAGGACAGAGGGACAGAGGACTGCTATGTGGGTAGAGAGGCCCAGAGCACAGCTGTGTGGGTAATTGTGATTTTAGAATCTGAACGGACTTTCCCATCCTGCATCATCTCCCAATCGCACCCTGAACTTCCACGGCTTGCAAAGAATGATCTATGAGCATTGCCTGCGATCTGTGACACTCCGGTAATGCCCTGGGCACGGCTCTGGTTTTACGCAGATGGTTGTGTGCTTCCCTTGTAGTTGTCCAAGAAGGACTGCGGCGAATATAAGGCGACGCTGAAAGACGACCGAGGCCATGATGTGTCTGTCCTGGAGGTTGCTGGCAAAGGTAAAATAACACCTGCTTTGTTCTA